CTGCACACCACTACAACTCCAAATCTATCAGGGACAAGAATCAGGAGCTTCAGGTCTCATGGGATGATCTTCTGAAAAAGTCCAAGAACAGAAAGAAAAATCTGGATATCACGCTTCAGGCTCAGAAGGTATTTTCTGAACTTGAGTGAACTCCGCAGTTGTCTGTCCTTTGCTGTACAATTTATTATAAAAGATTGATGTAAAGGGTTTTTGCCACTTCTGCTGATTTGTAAACTTTCTTATATACTTGAAGTTATGCATATGCTATTTTAAACAAGTATGTACATCAGTCAATTCTAATGTTGGTTTCCTAGTTATAAATATCTTGTCCAGCTCTTGTTGGAAACAAAAACAATCATCTATAGAGGTCATGATGAACAGGAAATTCAGAAAATAATGCAAGTGAAATTTGTTTTGCTCACATTTAAAGATATGGTATTCTTATAAAAACCATAATGGAAGGAAAGGTTGAAATAAGTGAGCATAAGATTATCAGTGATACAATTTTGAAGATAACATTTAGAGAAGGATGAACAGCAATCTAAAGGGTACAACCAAGATGACAAACAAAAGGTTTTAGAGATCCACTGCAACCAGCCTGCATTGTGGAGATGGCACCTGAGTGATTAATCTTTAAATTAGTTTGCAGCAGTTATGCTTAGAAATGTAAGTAAGAAAATGGGTATGAAATCTGGAATTGTTACTTACTATGTTAGTTACTGACATTTGTTATCCAATGATTTTTAAAAAAGGACAATGTGTTAAACAACATTATCTTCATCTCTCACATAGGACATAATTGTAGTTGACTCTTTAGCCACATACCAGCTGATTTTGATTGTTTTGTGAACTGCAGATTCAGAAAATGCTGACAAATTGTGCCTTATGCAATTAGGTGCATGTGCAGCTACTGATCTGTTGTAACTGCTGCTTCCATTGATGATTAACTGCATTTCTGGTACCGTACTGTTTGTGTTGGCACTTCACTGCATGCTACTGGCTTTGCTGAGACTGCAGTCTGTGTCAGTTTTTTTTTTTTTTTTTCAACAAGGGACAGCGATGGGCATTCTATGTGGTTATCGGTGCCACGGGAATAGGGTAACTATGGGTTGACCCTTTTGCTACACAGTTGAAACTGTGATTACATGATTACCTGATTACATGACTGCTGAAAAATAAGTTATTTTGCTATTCCATTTCCAGTACTTCTCAGAGGTGGCAGAGATAGAAGCTTGGATCAATGAAAAGATGGCCTTGGTTACAAGTGAAGACTATGGTAAAGATGAGAATGCTGCTGACAGACTCTTGGCTAAAAACAATGTAAGTTGAATTCATTCATTCATCAGGTTAATCATTGTACAGACTAGTGTTTAAGGTGTCTGATCATGGCTCTTCACTCAGTTTATTCATTGTAAAGACTAATGTTGAAGGTGTCTATCTGATCATGGCCCTTCACTCAGTTTATTCATTGTAAAGACTAGTGTTGAAGGTGTCCATCTGACCATGGCCCTTCATTTAGTTTATTCATTGTAAAGACTAGTGTTGAAGGTGTCTATCTGATCATGACCCTTCATTTAGTTTATTCATTGTAAAAACTAGTGTTGAAGGTGTCTATCTGATCATGGCCCTTCATTTAGTTTATTCATTGTAAAGACTAGTGTTGAAAGTGTCTATCTGAGCCCTCCATTCAGTTTATTCAATGTAAAAACTAGTGTTGAAGGTGTCCATCTGATCATGACCCTTCATTTAGTTTATTCATTGTAAAAACTAGTGTTGAAGGTGTCTGTCTGATCATGGCCCTTCATTTAGTTTATTCATTGTAAAAACTAGTGTTGAAGGTGTCTGATTATGGCCCTTCATCTAGTTTATTCATTGTAAAAACTAGTGTTGAAGGTGTCTGTCTGATCATGGCCCTCCACTGCTTCCTGTTATTAGCAGCTCTCTTCAGCTCATAAGTCTTCACTATTGTAACTGATTATAAAGTAAAGGACCTTTTCCACACTCTAACTCATACTTTATTTCACTTGTACTTCTTTTTTACCATCCCATGCATGCATATTTTACCTGACCGTCTACTCTTTTCCAACATAGGTTCTAGAAACAGACATCCAGACATATCAAGCAATTGTGAATGGGCTGGGAAAAGAGTCTACTCGCCTTTTCAAACTTGGATATTCAGATCCACAAGCATTGAAAAGAGCTCAGGTATGTTGTATAATTTATATATATTTAAACGTTTTCTGTAAATACAAGAGTTTAGTAACATATTTTTTAAATGCTAGAGTCAATATAATTACAGTAAAACTGATGGACACAAATTCTCTAATCATGAAAAAATGTTTAGTCCCAGCAGGCTTGTATTATTAGTCACCAGTTAGCATTAATTTTTTAACATAAACTCCAGTTTGTTGTGTGTGTGGGTCCCTTAGAATCCTTGTTAATGAGATGTTACTGATTTAAATGTCTGCCTCAACTCAGTTTGTGATTGTAGCTAGTCACTAATCACAATGGGAACTGTTTAAAATAATTAATAAGAACGCTAACCAACTTAGCATCAGAGATTAAACAGCATTAAGAGCTTGTGGCATTCTTAGTCCATCACAAGTTATATGGACCACTCTTTCTTTCATATATATATATTCATCCTTAGCAATGAAAGGGTTAACACTGTGGGTGGTAAGTGTTTTTTTAAGTATGTGGAGGCAGAGATCGCTAGGGTGTCAGTTACATTGACAGCATAACAGATGTGATTTGTATGAAGCTGTAGGTAGATTGTTTTTATTGTGTCTGCCAAATCTCAGCTATTCTGGCTTTTGTTGGATTGGCTATGCTACACATGATATCATTGTTCATTGTTATATCACTTCATAACATCTCATTACAATTTCTATTGCCATAATTATATTTGTTTGGGGGAAACAAGTATCTCTAGCACATTTGCTAATCACGTGTCTGCCTGCCAGAATTCATTGACTAGTTTCTCATTAATGAACTTTTATAACTGGCCCAGGCTCCTAGATAACCCAGTCTAAAATTAGTACCAGGAAATGTTCTGAGATGTAAAGGGCCCAAGACATTGACTACACCACCCACTTGCTGATATCATGTTAAAAATATGAATCTAGCAACAGTGCCTGATGCTTCAGTGATGTGAAAAGAATCCTTTATCTAATATTTGATTCAGGATAGTGACAAACTGAAGGGGAAAAAGGGAATTATATTCTATATATACACATATATGTCATGAACTTGAGATATATTCTTTATTGTTGTTTAGGAACAACTTCAAGATAGCCTAAACAAGCTGAAGCGTCTGGCAGATGAAAGATGTCACCACCTGGAAAGGTCTAAGAGACTGCATGCATACATTAGGGAGGCGGATGAGTTTGAAGCATGGATCAGTGAACAGATGCAAACTGCCGTATCTGAAGAGTATGGCCAGGATTATGAACATCTGGAGGTAAGAACAACTGCTGAGTTCAATGTGTTGTCATCATCATGTTTCACTTGAAAACTGTTTACACTGATTTGATTAAAAAAAAAAAAAATTAATTGGAATCATATATGTTAGAGATAATAGAGATGAATTGCATTTAAAAGAGACTAAAATTACATGCAAATTATCATACTTGATTCAGCAAAGACTCAAATGACATTTTGATTAGCATTCTTCATTCAACACAGACTAAATATGACATTTTAATGTTCATTCTTCATTCAGCTGAGACTAAATATGACATTTTATTATCATTCTTTATTGAGCTGAGACTGAAAATGACATTTTAGTTTTCATTTTCATTCAGTAGAAACTAAAATGACATTTTAGTTGTAATTCTTTTTTTCAGCAGAGACTATTATGACATTTTAATGACATTTTAGTTATCATGCTTCATTCAGTAGAGACTAAACATGAAATTTAATTTATCATTCTTCACTCAGCTGAGACCAAAAATGACATTTTAGTTGTCATTCTTCATTCAGCTGGGACTAAAAATTACATTTAACTATCAGGCTTCATTCAGCAGAGACTAAAATGACCTTGTTTGTCATAATGACATTTAAGTCATTAAACTTCCATTCAGTAAAGTCTGTACAAACAGATCATCTTTGTCTAAAGAGAATGATGTAGTGGGGATGACCAGTCGATATGGCTGGCACTTAACACTCAGGGGAAAGGCAAAGCAGTCATACAATGAGACTCTTACTGGTACTATTGAAATTTGAACTCTAGGCTGGCTGCTGAAGATCGAGACAAAGCGCTCATGGGAATGTATCTAGTGCTATGATGTCAGTTCTTAACCCAGCTCAGCTCATTCAGTAAAGTTTAAAAAATTATAATTCAACATAAACAGTTTCTCTAATTATAATTATGATTTGAAAGAGGCATTTATAATGCTTTTTAATGAAATTATAGGAAGAGGAAAACATAAACGTGAAAACTGGACAGATTTATGGAAATCAAATGAACAAATAAAAAAATTTACAAACTTTATTTCTAGAGGGTTGCAAATTAGGCACACAGGCCCGTCTTACATTCGGCCCTTCTATACACATCTTTCAGACCACAACAGATAGAGGTAGATGATTAGAGATTCATGGCATGAGAAAGAGTCAGCATGCAAACTGATACATGCTGTTGAAAATTGCAACATATGCACATGTATAACTAACTACCCATGCTAGTCAGAAAGGCACTTGATGATGATAATGATGAATCAAGAACCATAAAAACGCACATTATCGTAAAATCAAAAGTTGGAAAAATGAAATATTTTTAAGTCAAGAACCCCAAAAATATATGTGATAGTAGAATGTAATGTTTGGAACATGAAAGATTTTTAAAGTACAATTTAGAAGCAACAATTTTTTTCACACTGTAAAGCCCCAAGTAAACTTATTTCATTGTAGATTTTATAGAGAAGCTTGTTTCCTTTCAGGTCTTGCGAAGCAAATTTGATGAATTTAAGCGCACCATTGAGGCCGGAACTGAGAGGTTCAACATGTGTGAGAGATTAGCCAAATACGTAGTAGATGATCATGGTCCTCATACACAGGATGTGATTGCCAGGCAGGAGCATCTCAGGTGAGTTGTGGCTTTTCTGTCCATACAATCTCATGTACCAGCATTGTCAGTATTTTCTTTGTTTGCAGCAAAAAATAGAAGCAACCTAGTTATTATCAGTTAAAATCTTCATTTTATTCACTCCCAGTCTTTTGTTACTGTAACATTTTCTTTGCCAATATGTCTTTCTTAACAACAATATTCTTTGTTGTGCAAAGAAGACACAAACAATAGCTTGCACAATTTATTGCCTGGTATATTTTGCTGCTGATCTCGGCAGTTGCATACTACAGTAATAATTAAATAAATGAAGCAAATAAGTGAATCCTTTGTAACTGAAGTACAAATTTGGTTATTTGCCTTATTTATGGTAATTGTTACTGTAGTAAATAAAATCCTAACCTGCACAATCATGGCGACAGCACTAGCCATGCAGCCGTAAATTTTGAGGTTCAAAAACCCCCTGCCTACACCGCATAAGTGGTAATAAAGGCAGTTATTGACAGTTTATTAAATTTTGGCAGTTACTGTAGTATGCACCTGCTGAGAGAAGGAGCAAAATATGCCAGGTAATAAATTGTGCAGTCTATTATTTGTGTCTTCTTTGTTCAAATTTAAAATGAGGCAACACCGCTTTGATTCTTTGTTGTGCCTTTATAATTTAGCATGATATAGGTACATTAGGAAAGAATTTGATGTGGCAGTGGAAATAGAATAAGAGAAGAATGTGACAGTAATTAGGAAGTGTTTACCAATGACATAAATGTTTAGTGTATTGGCCTACTACTGATATAATTAACTCTTGTTGTCACCTCACCTTCTTACCCAAAGCTTTAACAATCTTTAAAGCACAATGATGTAAGTAGTTCCAGCATGAGTTCTGGGGCTTTGTTTTGTTCTACAAAGAATAGACACACTTCTACCTTAACAAACATGTCATAGGAGGCGACTAATTAGGGGTGTTTTTTTTAAAGTTTGGATGCATCTGCCTGAGAGGTAAGAAACAAGCGGTTTGTATACAGATAGGCCAGATCTGTAAAACTGATGTGCATGCATGAGAAACTCTTGTTCTGGAACAAGACTAATGTCCAGGAGTGGATGAACAACCAGAACCTTCTGCCAGAGTTTACAGATGTTGAATCCTAACAAAAAGATGATATGCACCATGCCAGGGGGACTAAAAGTAGTAAATGGAATAAAATGGATTATTGTAGCCAGGATAGGAGCAGGTTTGGTCTTGAACCTGAGGATGTTTACTTATGTTTTAATGTAACACAAACATAATAACTACTGTGGAGGGTGGACAAGCCATGGACCATGCTGATAATATGAATGATCTACAAGAAGTAAGACATTTATGAGAACCAAATGATGACTGAAACTGCAACCATGACTAGACTGCAAGAACAACATATTAAGAGTGGTGTGGCCAGACAAGAGCACTATGCAGGAAGCCAAAGAAAAATAAGCAACTAACACATAACTGGTGTCGTTAGCCACGACACTCTGTGAGATTTACTAGCACTTATGGACTGAATGGTTTGATGTGCAGTGAGGATAAGCTGTCAGCTAACTAATTAAACTAACTAACTAATTAACTGACTTACTAACAAAACTTAGACAAAAGAAGATTACAAATGTATACAGTGTAAAGTAAGTTGTGTAGTAAATTACTCTTTTCATGCCAGTGCTGCATTGGGGATAAGATGCTAGTCATAGTTTTGATTACCAATGGGCTGTCAATGGGTGATATTGCCACTTCTTAATAGTCATTTGACTACTCACAGGTCTTAGCTCAGATTCACTTCTTTTTCCCTAAAGTACATAGCTCAGATTCACTTCTTTTTCCCTAAAGTACATACTGTTGGATTCATTCAGCATTTTTCTGTCTTCTTGCTAGCAGACGCAATGGGTACTCAGTTCCAGTACCCAGGTATTCATCGTCATGGCATTCCTTTTTCTACAAGTATTCAGTCACTGTCACTCGGGCATCATCCTCATTTGCTCATCTAACACTGAATCATCATCATCATCATCATCATGTGCGCTGCCAACTGGCATAGGCGCTAATGCGTCTCCACAGATCACGATCCCTGGTTGTCTGGAACAGCTCTTTTGATGTTATCCCTCCCTGCCATTGTTTCAGTCCACCCAGCATCATCTCTCTTGGTCTGCCTCTACCCTTCTTTCCACTGATATATGACAACACTGAATGCTTTTCACTTTTCCCCTCCTAAAATCATTCCCCCCCCCCCCCCCCCCCCCCCGCCCACATGGTTTTTTCAGCACTATTCACTTTTACTTGTAAATTCCAATTTATTCATATTCCAACAATTTCTCATGGATTTTCTACAGTTGGCTAACATTTTCCTGGCTGACCATTTACTTATGACCTATCCTCTTGCAAACTCCTATGTAACTTGTGCTGATGTCATGGAATTTCTGACTCATTACATCCATGATAATTGCCGTTAATTTCCAGGGCTTTATCTGGTGCCCACTTTAGACTGGGTCAACCTGGAAGCCAAGTGCATCTTTTATGAACAATATTGCTTATGTGGATTTGAACCCAAGAGTTTGGGTTGGCAGACATAGTTTCTGTGCTGTGTAAAGAGGTATCAACCAATGTGAGTTGACTATTACAGACAGTTTATTTAGGAAGACATTTTCTAGTTATGGTACTACAATTGATATCTTTCTTTTTAACATGCAGAGCCTCATGGAATACATTGCTTGAGCACATAGACAACAGAGACCAGAAACTACATGGAGCTGGGGAGATCCACAGATTTAACAGAGATGTGGAAGATGCATTATCTAGGATACAGGTATGTGTTTTGGGAGTTAAAGTGACATGGAAGTGGGCAAATAAACAAGGTATTTACTTCCTGTTATTCTTTTTCACATGGAAGACAACTTATATTTATCTTTAGGTTTAGGGTATAATGTTAGGTTTAGGGTGTATCTTTAGGCTTAGGGTGTATCTTTAGGTTTAGGGTGTATCTTTAGGTTTGGTGTGTATCTTTAGGTTTAGGGCTATTTTTGGGTTAAGGGTGTTTTACATTTTACCAATAACATCTTCCTCCTTTGTGTCTGTCTGGTAATGTATCTTGTGTATATGAAACATGCTGTGGACTATGTTTAATTACTAAATGTATCCTTTCTGTAGGTTTTTTGGTATAACACTGGTTATTTTATTAGCTCAGAAATCCACGTTCAGTCTTAGTTTGTTGAGGGACTTCTTTCTGCAAAATGCTATGAGGTTGACTTGGCAGCATGAAAAATAGACACCTAGTACTTTGTAAGGAAAAGTGCATCCAGAAAGGGAGATTATCCTATACCTAATATATCTTCATTCTTTCTACTTTGCAGTCTCATAGTATTGTACACTAATACATGTGTATTATTATATCTTTCTACTCTACAGTCTCATAATATTGATCACAAATATATGTCCATTCTTACTACTTTGCAGCCCAATAATATTGAACACTAATCTATGTCCAGCATTACTACTTTGCAGTCCACCATGGCCCTGGAACCCCAAATTGTTTGACTTCAACACAGATTATGGAAGATTGTACCATAAACTGATAATTTATTTTGTATAAATGCTGTTAAAATACAGCAGATCCTTTATTAGTTATAGTTATTGATTCGTGCAGGTACACGCTTGTATTACCACACAGGCACGCACCCACACATACACGCACCAGATGTTCTATACTAAGTGCTCTGTACTGTTTTAATTTTCTTTTGATTTGTGCATTTTAAGGAGAAAAGCTCAAGTATTCCTGATGACTTGGGCAGGGACTACAACTCTTCTCTGACATATTTGAAAAAACATGAAGCCTTTGAAAATGAACTTGTGGCCCTGGAGGCACAGGTCAGTGTAACTCTCTTTCATTTTCAAATGCCTGTATGTCATTCTCATATTATGGTTAAAAGTATCTGGAAAATACACTGAGAATGTGAGATGAATACAGTGTGAAATAAGGTAAAAGAAAGACAACATAACAATTGAAAACTACTTAGTAGATCCAATGAAAAGAATGAGAAAGCAAGGAAACCTACATAAATGTGCAGATGAACTATAGAAGAGGAAACTAGGGAGAATTGAATGATTTGCATGTACTAAATAAACATTAAAAAAAAAGCTTCTTTGTTCTTATGCTGTATAACAAGTTGATGCAAAGCTTAGAAATTTGTTTCCCTTTGTTTAATACTATTGTCTTGTAGGACTGTCATTGAAAATATTCTAAAAATCAACAACTCCCTCCTTTGTAAGCAGATGGAATTTATCGTAAATTTGAAGTTACCCTGGTAAGTCATGTGACTACGGTGAGCTTCTGGCGGCCATGAAACAGACGCAATGTATCGGAAGAAACTATTCGCATTTCAGTTGAATTTATTCAGTTTTGTGCTTTATTTTATGTTGATATAACTCTGTAGTAACGCACCTGATGAGATACAGTGAAATATGCCTGGCAATAAATTGTGCAATGTATTGTTTGTATCAACATTATTTAAATTCATTACGGGACAACACTGTTCTGAAAAATATATTAGTTTTCTTGGTGACCACTGACTGCCAATGTTATTAACTGTGTACTTATTTTTTTGGTTATATATATTTTTTTAATACTGATCAAATTGACGTTATGTGTTCTTTCTTCAGCTGCAAGTTCTTATTGATGACTCCACCCGTCTGCAAGCCACATATCCTGGTGAGAATGCCGAGCAGATTCAACAGTTGCAAGCCGCAGTCGTGGATGACTGGGAAGAGCTTCAGACAAAGTCAGATCACAGGAAGGCCTTGCTCCTTGCTGCAGCAGATTTACACAGGTTTATGGCCAGTGTAAGTTTGTAGGGTAGAATTTCAACAAAGTTTTGTGTGTGTATGTGGGTGATTTATTATTTCTACAGTATTGTATATGCCATGACACTCTTATTAAATATATATCACAACATCTAGTTTGAGAATGGTGGTGGAGGCAGTCTCTGCTGCCTTCCGCTGGCTTGAGAATCAGTTGTACACACATGCTGTTTTTGTAACTAAGTCATAGAGCATGTTGAGAAACGTGAAAACAAGCATGCACGTGCAGAGTGGCAAGCACCACTTCAGAGGTCCTGGGTTGTCAGCATCCTTTGGATATTTTCTCCAGATTATTCTGGTGTGTTGGGAAATTAACATACATATAGACTGGCTGGCTCTGCACCACTTGGTTGTGAATTGATGTATGACAAGCAAGATATTGTAAGGGCCCTTTGGGGGAACGAGGAAACAGTGCGAAGATTCAGATAGATCATTACGGTCAGAGGAGAATGGCGCTGCGAGAAGTTACCAGGGGATCTGGCCAATGCTCAACACTTAAGGGAAAGATGAAACAGATATACAATCAGATGGTTACTGATACCATTGGTATCGAAACTCTTCACTTGCTGCTGAAGATGGGAATAGAGCACTTATGGGATTGCCCCGAGTGCTGTGATATTGATGCATCATTAAACATTCAACATTCTTATAAAAACCGTACTGAGGAAAAAGCTGCAGGCAGGTGAAAGAGCATGATGCAAGTGAAATAATAATATCAAGAAATGAATGAACAACAGTCTGTCAGAGTGCTCAGAGTCGACCTGCGCTGTGAAGATGGGACCTGAATTATTGATTTGTATATATAAAAATGAAATACAAGTGAGAAAAAAAATATTTGCTACCGCTAAGATGTGCATCTTCCTAAATGCATTCAAGTGATACAGGATTCAATAATAATAAGATGCATCAGGAAATGAAGGTGTGAGACAAATGGAAGCTGGTTTATTTTGGCTAAAAGAAACATACCTTGCAATTTAAAAAGAAGGGGGGGGGGGTGGGGGGGGGGGGGGCACTAATAGACGTCAATGTATTTTGGTGAAAAGAATCATATTTCAGAATAAACAAGAAAAAGGAAAAAATATATGGGGGGGGGGGGGGGGCATTTGGAGTCAAACAGAAGCCAGTTAGTTTACTTATTCTTTATGCCTGCGCCGAATTATCTAACTTAAGTATAATACATTGTATAAATTGTAATTTCAGGCTCGAGACCTTCTAGGGTGGGCAAAAGAAACAGAAAGGGAGATGAAGATGGACCATAATGTGAGGGATGTGAATGGAGCAGATATGTTGAGACAAAGGCAAGAGGAAATTCGAGCAGAGATAGAGGCTCGCCAAGACACATTTGACTTGGTCATTTCAACTGGACAGGCTCTTATTGAAGCTGATCATTATGCAAAAGATGAGGTGAGCAGCTGTCATGAAATGTTTCTGTGCTGAACATTTCTAGTGTACATTAATGACTGTTATAAACCTTGTGATTTGGCAGGAATGCTACATTTAGCATTAGCAGCATCAAGGTTTAGTGCTGTGAAGCTACCTCAACAAGTAACTAACCTCCTTGTCTTTCTTACACACACTTGCCTTTTCTCCCCTCTCCATCTCTTCCCATGTGGATTTCTTTTTATATTTATTGGGTACATGTATGACTGTTAGAAACCTTTGATATGGCAGGAATGCCATATTTAACATTACAATCATCAAGGTTTGGTGTTGTGAAGACTCATTCACTAGTAACTAACCTTCCTGTTTTTGTCACATATATATTTCCATTTTTATTTCACACTTGATCCACTTTATCTAAACACATCTAAGTCCCTGATTAGCTGAATAGGCGGCACAAAACAATTGCTAGGTTTTAAAACCCGTTCTGACAGCAGTCGCAAAGTTCCAGACTGTTACCTTGAACTAACACATACATAATGGTGACTGGGAAAATTGCTGCAAACAAGGACTATACCATATGCTATACAGTAAGTTGAATAATTTGAATTGCATTTTAAATTCCTGTTATTTGTCAGAAATAATTGTTGACAAATTCAATTTGCTACTAGATTGGTGCAAAGGTAGACCAGGTGGATCAAGCAAGACAACAGCTTCATGCGCTTTGGCTGGAGAGGAAAGACCTGTATGATCAGGTTTATGATCTCAACATCTTTCTCAGGGATGCTGAGCTGCTCAACAGGATCAGTGCTACACAAGAGGTAGGCATCTATGGGGTTAATTGTTTCTGTATAGGTATTAATATGTGTTATCACAAAATTAATATGATGTAAATATGTGTTCCACAACCTGAAGAAGATACTTACTTCTAAGAGATAACCGGTTAAAAACTCTATAGAATCGAAACATGGATGGAAAGAAAGATTCCTCCCACCCCCATAAAAATGTATATATGTATAAATGCAGAAAAACTGAGAATAAATGCAAATATGTATGTAACAGATAAAAGCAGACAATATTAGGTTATTGAAAAGACAGAAATGAAAAGGGAGTTGATAAAAAAGCTGAAAGACAAATTAATCATTTTGGCCACATTTTAACACCAAACGCATGGGCAAAGCTAAAAGTGTAAAGATTTTGTAAGGTCGACCCCCATGTTGGTTCTGGAGCCCTATATTTGGAAGAAATGAAGAATAGACTCACTGCCCTCCAACAATTATGCTGTTAAAGGTCACTAATTAGGGGTTTACTAACATCGAATATGTTGGGCCGAAAGGGGTAGACTGACTGTGGAAGAGGAGAACAAGCAGCAGCAGCAGCGGCAGAAGAAGAAGAAAGAAGAAGAAGAACTGCGATATATACGAAAAAAAAAACATTGAAGATTGGGGCTCTCCTCCGAACTTCTACCCCCGCATTATGGCAGCAACAAATATCTGTACCGGGCTCAGTTCTATTAAAAATATGCGAGCTTCCGGTGAAGAACGAATCGCTGCAAAACTAGGATTACCTGACAATTTCAAGAGACGCAACAAGAGACAATAATAGCAACCGTTGACACTTTCTAGCGTTTCTGTAGACGATACTAGCGACCATGGACAATTTCGAGACACGCAACATTACTGACGATAAAAGCCACATAGCGGAGAGTCCACATGCGCCGACGCAGATTAGCGTTGTTGTTGTCCTCAAACTTGTCGGCATGCGCAAAACGGGGTTACACTCACCGCAGACAGTATCCCCCACGCCGCTACACACGGCGCGGATGGGGGGCTAAACTAGGTGCCTGGGACTCACGAGCAAATTAATTGGAGGAAGTTGCAGGAGATGCGGTAGCTGCTGCTCATGAGTCCCAGCCATCTTGTTTAGCCCCTATCCGCGCCGCGCGTAATGGCGCGGGGGTTACGGTCAGCGGTGAGGCATAGTCACAGAAACAGGTCCGCAAGTAACATATCGCTGAGACCCTGTTAGAGCATTTGTTTCGTTATACGGAGCTGACATATTTTTAATAGAACTGAGCCCCGTACGGATATTTGTTGCCGCCATAATGCGGAGGTAGAAGTTCGGAGGAGAGCCAAGATTGGACATACATAAATCTGTCTGAGTGTACCACTAAAGCAAGAGACAGACAGTTTTGGTGATCAATGGTAGTCCGTCTTCATTGTAGAAATGATGATTGTTTGTTTGTATCTTTGATAAACCTTCAGATGTTCATGTCTCATCACTTACCTCCTATATATGAAGACACTTTATCATATGTTACTGTCATCATCATCAGGCACCTGGCTGAGTGGCCAAGCCTCTCCAGATTCTGTAATCTCTAACAACATATATGAGTTAATGTTACAACTGTTAAGTATCTCATCAGGTTGAAAGAATTCATTTCTTTGCTTCATTTTATTTCTTACTGAAGTAGGCACCTTAACAAGAATAGATAAAAAATGCCATGCAAAAAAATTATACAGTCAGTTATTTGCATCTTCTTAGTTCAGACATTTATATTTGTTCTTTCTTTGTTTTGTGGTCCAGTGAATTACCAGCCTTCAATGTTGCCCAATTGTTTTGTTGTTTTGTTCTTGCTAACTAATTGTCCAGCACAACAAATGAGCAGGCAACAGACTTAAACGAGACCAGTCTTGGTAGGGCCTGGCAGAGACAGTAAGTACTTCAGCTGGTGATTTACCTTCAAGATATAAACTTTGGAGAGGAATGGATACCCATACCAAATTAATTCAAGCAGTAATTTGTGGTGCTTATCACACTGACAAGACAACGCCTTGATTTGGTATCACTAATAGTTGATGCAGAAGTGAAAGCATTGCTGGAGGAATGCACATCACTGGAAGATGCTGTTATATATACAGATGGTTCTGTGATTCGTCAGAAGTGAAAGCATTGCTGGAGGAACACACATCACTGAAAGATGCAGTTATACATACAGATGGTTCTGTGATTCGTCAGAAGTGAAGTGCATGGCCTTTCACTGCAAGAACCAAAGGGAAAGTCATTAAAGAAGACAGTGGAGCCCTTGTTTCTACCACTAGCAGCAAGACTAATGGAGGTCATGGCTGTGACAAAGACCCTAGAGTGGTTGAAAACTCAGGAGTTCATCAATGCATGTTTGCTTAGTGATTCAGTGAGTTGCTACAGAAGATCATGGTGGGGTACATACGGAAACAATGGCTCCATTTGATACAGCATACAGCATTTCGCAAAAGCACCTTTATTTTTGTCCCAGGGCATGCTGATGGGAAAGACAGTGAGAGAACAAACGCTGTGACTGATAATGCAACTGTCAGAAATAGACCCTTAATAGACAAGAGGGACATCATCAATGGCATATGAGAGACTGAACACTAAGGCTTTTAATTTTGTGAAAAATAATTTTTGTTTCTGAAAAGACTGCATACTCTGGGTATACCAACTGGAGCGACAAGATAGGAAAACCATGCGGGAACCATTTGTCGCTACATCAGCTGGAACAGAATAGCAGTTGTTAGCCTAAAAACATTTGGAGACACTCAGGAGGAGATTGAAACACTTATGGTCATATCCGATGAAGATGATCTCAAAAACTGTTTTACATATTATGCAATACATATTTTTGCAACCTATGATGACAGCAGGTGCTGGATTAGATTCCATCCACTATATCAAAAACAACTGCATCAGATAGAACAGTATGGAGCACAAGACTAATGAGGATGGTGATGAATAAAAGGAATTCATTATATAAGATTCATTTAAATTTTTTTTTTTTTTTTTACAGTCAAGGATCCTTTTCCACGCTTTCAGGTGTATTGGGCATATAGGACTAGAGCTATATTTTAGAGACTAATCAGCACTAGGTAGATGACTTAATCAACATAATGCCAGCCATCTTTACTTCCCAGGATTTTATCTGGTACCCACTCAAGGCTGGGTCGATGTGGGAGCCAAGGTCATTAAAAAAACAAAACAAATCAGGCTCTATCAGGACCTGAACATCTGCTACTTCAGAGAAATTTGTAGCAGATATTAAATTCAAAAACCATGCTGCTTATTTGAATAAATGAATATGATGTATGTTGCAGATTGCAATGCTAAAGGTCAAATATTTGTTTACTTAGTGTCAACATGATTCATCCCCAGGTGTACCTCAGCAGTCCAGATTTGGGAGACAATGTTGCCCAAGTGGAGGGTCTGATCAGGAAGCATGAAGCTTTTGAGAAGGTTTTAGATGTACACAATGAGAAGGTAAAGGGATGCAGTGAAAAGTAACTGTTATTGTTCTTCGCTACTTTATTTGGAGCTTCTGCCTGCCATACTTTCCCGAACAGTCTCTTTTAACCATAACCTGTGAATGAGATAATCATGGTCCAGGTTTGCAGGATTTGACTTCATGATTAGAACAGCATAGGTTAAAATTGCAGCTATTTGAGGCTGAAGGTATAAATCATTTCTTTCAGTTGTCTACTAGCGTTCCTGCTTTCTTTCCCAGTTGAGTTGTTCAACATAGTAAATGTATGTGATTAAAATATATTTAGTTTTAGTAGATATTTAACATGCGGAACCAATGATATGTTACCTCTGTAACAGAGAAAAAGCATCTTACAGATTTCTTACAGACTAAATATGAATGACAGTCATGCTATTTGTTAAAACTCATGCTTCTTTCTCTTTATTGTTGTGTAAAAGTAAAGCTTGTTCTTATTTCTGTTTATTAAAGCTGATTCTTTTTTCTACTCATCTGTAAAAGTAAATCAGCTTATCACTATTGTTCATGTTTTTCAATCTGCAGCTTAAACTTATATTGGACCATGGCCAGCAGCTTATTGAAACTGAGCATTTTGAAGCCAAAAATGTTAAAACCACAATGGCTGAACTATCTTCCAGGTATGAGTATTTTGTTTTCTTGTTTAAATAATTTATTTTAGTTTAAATGCTGAATATATGTAATGGAATTTGCAAACCTTTGGGAAGCTTTCCTTTTTTTTTTTGGAGTGGACAACAGCTTTTAACAGAAAGAGCACACTAGTTTGAACATAATTGTTTTCATCTGGGGTCAGTATTTGTGTCAGACTGTGCATGTGTGTGTGTGCATATGTGTGTGTGTGTTTTATTAACCTTATATTCAGAAAATTGTGGGTGAATATCTGTGTGTCTAGACTATTGGTGTACCTTATGCAATATTGAATGTGCAGATGCCAGTTTGTCATGACTAGTTGCTTCCATCAGTAATGAACTGCAGTTATAGTATTGGGTTGTTGCTGTAAGCACTTCTTGATTTTGAGAGGACTGATCTGTTTCACTAATTTTTAAATGAGTAAAAGGCATGTTGTTTGATTGTTTACTGGCACAGGAATGTACTAGTGATTGGATCACTGTTTGACATAAAGTTAGCTCCTTTGTCTTGTCCGTTGTGTTTTTCCAGTCATAGTTTGTGCTGTAATTAGTATTTCTTTGATGATGAAAAAAGAAACATTCGGTTGTGTTCGTCTGCATCTTTTCCATTCCTTCCGTTGAGTTTCTAGTCAATTTTTTTTTATATTCAGCATTTCTTGCAATCAGCTCGACTGCAGTCACTCCCTATTTACGTCATCATTTCACTGTAGTAGCCTTATTAATGATATAAATTGTGTGTGTACAAGTTGTTTATTTTCTTTCTCATGTATATATTTTTTCAAGTGTATTTTTGTTTATATCTGTCAAATAAATGATTTCCTACAGACGTAAGAACATCCATGAGCAATCAGTTGTGAAAAAGAACAACCTCAAGGATTCTCTCCTGTATCAACAGTTTTGTAGGGATGAGAATGAGGTGAGTGTTTGCTTTTGAAGGATACAATTGAACATTTTGCAATATGGAGACATACTGTAGTGTAGGAATGAATTAATGAAGAATTAAATTACTGTACTCATAAGATTCCCACATTAACAGTTTTTTTTTCAACCACATGTTTTGTATGTTTTCATTTAATGCAATAATAAAATAACTCAAATAAGCACAGCAGAAGGCCTTCAGCTCAGTAGAAATAAATACTTATTGTATTTAAACACACGTGTATCTAAACAAAGGGAATTTAGTATTAATGTGTGTTTGTAGGTGATATACATTTGTACCTCAATTATGGCAGGTTTATCAGTGGAAAAAAGTGAATCAGTACTATCATAAATATATATGTATTCTTTGAAATGAACTCTTTTCTCCTTAAGTATTTTAATATCTACACCCAAATGTCCCATTAAAATTGACTTAGCAGAGTTCCTAATTACACAGCACTGTTAAATCTATAATTGAAACATATTAGCTTTGAACATTAAGGCTGATACAATGACAGTAAATAACATACATGCAATATTATGATATAAAACTTGTTTATCTACAACAAAGCATTCAGCATCACCTCTCCACAACTTGCAAACACTTTTGACCTGATATGTATTTTTGAAATCATTTATGAGAACAATGACCAAGGCTTTTTCTGATTCATAAATTTTTATTGTCTGCTTTTTCTAACATCTACAAGTTTAAAAAAATGCCCAGCGAAAAAATTATGTATTTTTTTTTCTTAAATGGTCTATTTTCTCCAACTTTCAGTCCTCCATTATTCTTCTTTTAACTTCTGATCACTCTGTCCCTGTGTTACCATTTTAAAATATGTACAAATGATAAATCTGGCTAGATATGGGCATACAAGTTAGCTGTGTATCCTTTACAGAACACTGCAGTACCAATCCCAGCATTTTTTAGCTGTTTTTGTTTTTCTAAGCAAATTTTAAGTTCAGTAGTTTGATATGGGCATATACCATGATATACTATGATTACATTGTGTTAGATATGGACAGGTAGTATAATTTAAAATGCTACTTGTGAAAAATTAACACACTAGAAATTTTTTCTTCCAGCTAGTCAGCTTCATTCAGTATGTAATGAGTATTGATCTGTAAAAGCAAGGACTGTAAGACAAAAACACCTATATTCGGTTGTATATATTCATTGATGTATGCATTCTGTTGTGACTGTCTAACACCTACAGGCAGAGAACTGGATTGATGAAAAACTGAAGGTGGCATATGAAGATGATTTCAAGGATGTCACAGACCTGTATGACAAGATGAAGAAGCTACAGAAGCATCAAGCCTTCCATGGTGAAATTGTTGCCAATACTGACAGGATCAGCAGCATTAAGGAGGTAATAAAGATAGGGAGAGAAAGGAAGTTATTGGGTGCATGAAATGTCATTTTCAAGCATAATGATTTTTATGTGGGAAATGAGGGCAGAGTGATTAAAAGTGTCTACTTGAATTTAATGAAAATGAAGAATACACACATAAGACTTGACATGTCTGTCTTACCAGTGCCCATTAGTGATAAAATTATAGTTATCCTGTAACCTGCCATTCACGCCCTGTCAGTTGACAAAGAAGAAGACAATGACATTGACTGCCTGATACTGTAGAGAAAATTAACTAAAGAGCCCACGGCAGCATATACATTTATTATATTCCAACTAAGGCCACCAATCTCCATCTGTATTCTCTGCACCTCTCTAGCATCATTATTCCAGAAACTCAGACCAAGCACCACATTAGCTATACAATCCAATCAACTATGAACAGTTTTCAACCTGAGAAGTTTGACGGCCCATGCTCTAATGGGAGGTGAATGGCAGAAGAAGAAGTAGAGAGAGAGACATAATTTTCCACCACATTTAATGTGCATTAAAGATTTATTTTAAGTACAAGGAAAGGCAGTGGACATAATGGTGATTGAGTTTTAACATCTGTGCCATTTGATCATGGGGAAAATGTGCACTTAACAGTTTCCTCAGTTTTCACAAGATATACATAGAATTATTGGGTTGCACTTCTTCTTAGTTCATCTTAGTTATGTTATTGGCTTGTTCCTGTTTACAACTTTACTGCAATATTTGCACCTTTCAGCTTACACATCCAACTTTGTATGGCATGTTTTGTCTGGGTTATCTTTCCTGGTTAGTTTTGTGGGATATTTTACAGCCTCATTGTTGTTATCTGATCCACAGGTGCCCCACCCCCATTCAACCCATTTAGGAAAACTGTGTGCATCCTGGTCAGCCCTTCACGGAAGGCAAGGGCAGAAAATGGGCACTCCCTGCCATCCAGGGAGGCGTCCATAAATGCAGAACTGATACATGACACTCTGATACTGGGCTGACCCAAGGAATCACATTGTCTTGGTCCTGACTGCTTAAATTATTAAGAGTTGTATTAAACTACTACCCAAATCTGTCAATATTATTTGGTTTGAGCACGCTAGCAGGTTGATTAAAATTAAATACAGTTTAGCTGAAGGGGTTTCTAGTATTTGGTTTAGTATGAGCAATTAATAACAGAATATATGCCTGTAAGAACAATCTCACAGAGATACTGTTCAGAATGAAACTATACAGGATAGATACTAAGTTAAAACATGTAACAAAAAGTATGTTGAAATGGTTTTGATCATGTTTTCAGGTTGGTGAGATTCTGATCAAAAAGCGTCACCCTGCACAGGGTGAGATCAAGCAAGCCACCACTCGGCTGACATCCAAATGGAATGAACTGCTTCAAGCATCAGCCAACAGAGGGAAAGGGCTGGAAGAGGCCAAGGACATACTGGAGTTTATGGAGCAAGTTGATAAAGTTCTTCTGTGGATTCGAGAAAAGGTAAGCTAAGTTTAGTATATAAAAATGTTTATGTTTCCAATATCATCATCATAAATGAAGGTGGACATAGGTCGCCATCTCGTATGATCACTGGAATCACCGATCAGGTCTGTGATCAAGACATCCAAAGTCAGGGTAAAGAAGGGCCATGTGAACCAGCATTATTGCACATGGTTATAAACCAAAAGTGCTCTGCCACCAGTACGGACAGCTGATAAGAAACTGTCCTCCTGTGTTATGTCCACACACAGTCTGTAGCTACAGGGACATTCCTCTATTTACCCCAGAATGGTAACTCTGGTACCCATTACCTAGAGGCTGGGTGAACCTCGGTAACAGCCTGGTTTCGAATACCAGCCGTGGGCTGCAGCGAGTCTCACATATATCTATTTGTCTTCACTTTTTCTTTTTCCCTTACTATTTACTAGTTGCCACTAAGTTTTCAGATTTATTTTTCCTCATAACAAGCCCAACTGTCTACTTATAATTTCTTAAAAAATTCAAGTTTTGAATTATTTCTTGTATAACTGCCACATTTGCTTTTTCGTTTACAAATTATTTTGTGTGTGCATGTTTACACATTATTTCTCAGAAACAGTCCATTTTTTACTTCACTGTTTATGTGTGAGAGTGTAAAATAAACAGTTGTAAGAGTTGCAGGTCAGCCTTTTGTTTATTTATACCTCTGCGTGTATGTCTATAAGTGGATTTAAAAAATTCGGTTTGCCAGGTTCTCTTGATACACACATTTGTTAGCTTATTCTTATTTTCTCCTTGGTAGACGAAAGAGATATAGTTAAGCTGTTGTGGTAATGACTGAACTGTGATTTTGTTTCTCCTTTTTTAGTTGGAAGAGATATAATAGTTAAGCTGTTATGGTAATGGATAAACTACGTCATTGTTTTCTCATTGATAGATGGAAGAGGGGCTTTTGAGCTGAAATGCTAAAGAAAGATTCTCAGAATATCTTGGACAAAGAAGAGGAGAAATACTGACATCTTGAAAGATCTGAACATCAAGGAAGATTGGCTTAAAAACAGCATCCTGTCTCGGAAGCTGAAATATTTTAGTCATATGCTCCACAACGGATTGGAAAAAAATGATTTAGAAGTCATGGTACCAGGAAGGAGGGGCAGAGGCCGACCGACACGAAGATGGGCACATGATATAAGTGACTCCTTGAGTATCAAAGTACATGAGGTGGGAGAACTGGCGAGAGACCCGAGTTTCTTTCAGGCAGACTGTGATGAAAGTGACGTTCTGCAAAGGACCTGCTACGTGATGGGTGGAAGAAGATGGAAGAGATATGGTTAAGCTGTTATGGTAATGGATAAACTGAGATATGGTTTTGCCCTTGGTAGATGGAAGAAATATAGTTAAGCTGTTGTGGAAATGGATAAACTGTGTTGTTTTCTCCTTGATAGATGCAAGAGATATAGTTAAGCCTGTTGTGGTAATAGATCAACTGCATTATTGTTTTCTCATTGATACATGGAAGAGATATAGTTAAACTGTTGTGGTAATGGACAAACTCTGTTACTGTTTTCTCAGGAGGCACTAGTTCATCAGAATGATGTAGGTCGAGACTATGAACACTGTCTGGAACTGCAGAAAAAAGTCAATGACCTCGAATCTGCTGTAAGTAAATCTTTCACTTTTTTTTAAAAGTTTTATTTTTCTTCTAGTGATATCCTTTAAAAGAATAAACTCACTGCCCTCCTACAAGCATATCTTAAAAGGCACTAATTATGACTGCTGAAATTGGATATGTTGGGTCGAAAGGTGCAGATATTGCCGGCTACTTATAAGCCACAACATACTGTGCCGTTCAGCCTTTTAAGAGCAAACGCAAAAAGAGAAGAAATACAGCACTAGTTTTGTGCACTAATTTCTGCTATTTTCTACCACACTGTTACAAGTGAATAAACTTTGTGTCGTTTTCATTTTGTTTGGTGTTGTTGTTGAATATGCCATTAATAACATAAACTATCTTATATCATGTAGGGCATCACTGTGGATGAGAAGAGAATCAAAGACATCAATGCTCTAGCCGACAGACTGATCACTCAAGGAAGGACAGACACCATGCAGGTTAAGGAGAAACGATCCGATATGAACCAAAAGTAAGGATGTTGTTTATGATCTGTAATGGGATTTAAATATGGGATACTTCTCCTGTGCAACAGAGTTCGTGCACTGCGATGAGATTCTTTAGGACCAGGCTTGAGTTAGAAGTGGAGCAGAGCACTTATGGGTTACACACATGTCCCATGATGTTGATCTGTCGAAAAAGCATAAATATGGGATACTGTGGTTCATAAGGGGAAGGCTTACATGTGGCTGTGTAATGTTGCATGGCAGACATTTTATACTTATCTGTAGCTTTCTTCAACTTTATATAGCTTGTAGAGGATAGGTTTGTATGTCTGTTTTTGTTGAAAAAAATAGGGGTGACGGTTGGGAGGGGGGGGGGGGGTGAAAAAAGAGAGTGGATGAACACATTTTTTTGTTATAACTAAAGACAGTATGCAGTTATGAAAAGTATTCACTATAAAAAGCTTTTTTTTTTGCCTTGATCACAATATTAGAGACAGAGGGCTATTACTGAAAATACTGGAAGGCAATATATAAAACAATAGAAAGAAATATCGTGTCCCTGGAAAACACTACATCAGACAAGCATGCAAGGACATTGGATCACACAGTTATCTTGCATTCAGGAGAGCTGCTGGGAATAGCATCTAGTGGAGTGACTCGATTAATGACTTCATTACTAGACTTCGACTGACTGTCCTTATGAATTATATATATATATATATATATATATATATATATATATATATATATATATATATATATATATATATATATATATATATATATATATATATATATATATATATATATATATATATATATATATATATATATATATATATATATATATACATACACATACATATACATACATATATACATGTGTGTGTGTAGTATTTTGTTTTAGGAAATGTCAGCAGAAACAGTATTCACTAGAATGCACAAATTATCATACTACTAACACTGAACACTAGACTGTGAATATGTTCACAAAATAGCACAGTAAAATTACATTAGTGAGTTACAACTGAGGTTATGTTTCATGCAAATATGTATTTCTCAGATGGCAGAACTTGCAAGGAGCACTAAATGACTACAAGGCTCGCTTAGCTGCAGCTCTGGAGATCCATGCATTTGTCCGTGACGTAGATGATGTCAATGATCGCATTCATGAGAAAGCTCAGTTGCTCTCTGTTGAGGATTTGGGCAAGGATCTACAGGCTGTAGAGGCCTTACAGCGAAAGCAAGAGGAGATTGAAAGGGACATGACAGCACTGCAGAATCAACTTGAGGTGTGTATCAGATACAGCTGACTTGCCTGATTTTAGGCTGTCTGTTAGGTATTTCTTCTTCTTTTTTCTCTAATCCCTATTCAACCTTTCAATGTTGGGTTTTCAAAAGGTATCTGAAGCTAACCTTGTTTTGTGCTGAGTGGATGCAGAAATTCTGAACCTCAGATATTTCAAAACTCTGTTGTTTTCATGAGTGACAGGGCTATCTGTGGTCCACAGTCCTGGGGCAGTTTTGACAAGTCTGAACCATTTGGTCAGTTATATCTTGATGTAGTTTAGCAGTTGTCTGACCCACATGTTTCCTGTTGTTATTTCTGATCATGCTTCTTTTTGTTATATTCAAGATTCATCACAGACATTTCATTTCTGTTTCAATTTTGTGTGTGTGTGTGTGTTAACAAATGCATTTGACTCGTGTAGCAAAATTTTGACAAAAATACTGTATTGAACTATGTTGATTGTTACATGTTTGTTCTTCAGTATTCATCATCATCATCATCAGGTGCCTTGCCAACTGGCGTGGGCGATCATGCCTCTCCATAATCTGTGATCTCCTGCAGCATGTATCAGTTTGGGTGCCGACACACTTCCATGCCATGCAACAAGACTGTCAAGCGTCTTCTCTCATTGTCTTCCTCTATCCCTCCCTTCACAGATCTTTCCATTGGTCACACCATGTTCTATTTCTCCTCTTCTCGTAACATAGCCGAAAAATGATGACTGTCTCCTTCTGATGTCTGTGATAAGTTGTCTTCGGGCTCCCGCCTCTTTCAAAACCTCTTGGTTGCTCTTTTTGGCTGTCCAAGGTATTCTAAGCATTCTTCTGTAAAACCACATCTCTGAGGCCTCTAAAAATTGTTTGGCCTGCCTACCGATTGTCCAGGATTCACATCCATATGTTAAAACTGGATGTATGTAGCAAGCAAGAATTCTTTTTCTAACTCTTAAGGACAAGGATATATTGCACAAGATGTTTTTCATTTGATAAAGTGCAGTTTTTGCCTGTCCAATTCTGTTTCTTATTTCAGTTATGCATCTTCCATCTGATGTTATCCATGTGCCCAGATACTTAAATTTCTGTACTTGTCCTAAAATAACACCATTGACTTTTATTACACATTTAGGAATAATTTGTTTCTTTGATACCACCATTACTTCTGTCTTCCCATTATTCAAACTGAGGCCCATTCTTCCACTTTCTAACACCACAATGTCTATCATTTCCTGTAATTCTTTCTGACTTGTTGCTATCAAGACTGTGTCATCAGCATAATGTAAATTGTTTATATTGTGCCCACCAACCACAATTCCGGGCATATCAATTAAAGATCTCATTATATATTCAATGTATATTGAAAACAAATCAGGTGACAGTACACATCCTTGTCGTACGCCCCTCTTTATGCTTTGAAATGTACCTAAACAGTTGTTTATTCTTATAGCTGCTGTTTGCTGCCAATACATATTCTTTATTATTCGTAGATCTTTCCCATCAATGTTTAATTTTTCTAACAGTTTGATTATTTCTTCATGCTTCACACAGTCAAATGCTTTTGTATAGTCTATGAACCATAAGTACAAATCAGTCTATACTTCTATAGCTCTTTCTGACAATGTCCTTAGGATGTAAATGGCATTGTTTGTACCTTTTCCTTCTACAAATCCACATTGTTCATCGCAGATTTCTGGTTTAATTTTGTTTCTTATTCTTATCATAATTATTCTCTGTAAAATCTTAGTCATGTGACTCATAAGACTTATTGTGCGATGGTCTTCACATTTTAAAGTGCCTGGTTTCTTTGGCAGAGCTATAAATATGGATTTTAAAAGGTCATTTGGAATATACCCACTATTATAAATATCATTTAAAAGTTTAGTTATTATTTCAATTCAAAAATCTCCCAGTGCTTTGATTTCTTCCAGTGAGATGTTGTCTGGCCCAGGTGCTTTTCCTTTCTTCATATGATGTATTGCATCCTCAACTTCTGCAGTCATTATTGGTGGACCATCATTGTTGGTCTGCAGTTCTACATCTGGTCTATTATCATCATACAATTCCCCTATATACTCTGTCCATCTGTTAATTACATTACTATGTCCCATTAATAAGTCACCATCTTTTGATTTCAAACATCCAGTGCCGTTACGTGTCATCTTTCCTGTTAACATATTTATCTGTTGGTACATGGAATGTGGAATGTGAGTCTTGCTGTGATTTTTCCCAATCTCTGTACACATTTGATTCAGCCAGGCTTCTTTAGCCACTTTGCATTTGTTCACTATTTCTTCTTATTTTCTAGAGTATTCTTCTTTATCATTCTTTTTCTTCCTTCTTTCATCCATCAACTGCAGAATTTTGGTTGACATCCATTTCTTTTTTGCAACTCTATGGGTTGGTGGGATTGTCTCTTTTGATGTCTGCTGAATTGACTCACGCAACATATCCCACTGTTCATCAATAGTCTGTATAATTTCCATTGCATTATACCGGTTTTGTACAGTGACATTGTACTGTTCCTTAATTTCTTTATCTGTTCTAAGAATTCCTAAATTTAACTTGATGTTCTGTGGTGTTTTTCTAATGTTCTTTAGTTTTATTCTAATTTTTCCTACAACTGGAACATGGTCACTAAAGCAGTCTGCCCCTGGTCTAGTTTTTGCTCCAACTAAGCTGCTCTGGAATCTTCTTGAAATCAAAATATAATCAATCTGATTGCGGACATTATCACCAGGACTTTTCCAAGTCCACAATCTTCGAGGATGGTGTTTAAACCAGGTATTACCTATTATCATGCTGCGCAACTCAGCCCATGCTATTAATCTGTCACCTCTCACATTTTTTTCTCCTAGGCCATAGCCACCCATTATTCCGTACACTTTTTCACTTCCTACTTTCGCGTTGAAATCTCCAAGTACCATTGTTACTTCACAATTTTTGCATTGATCAACAGCCATGTCTAACTCGTCATAAAATGCGTCAATATCTTCCTCTGAACTATTTGCTGTTGGGGCATAAATCTGTACTAAGTTGATGTCAAAAGGTCTACCGCAAAGTTTTACTAATAGTACTCTATCTGATATTTTGTCCAAAATCTTTTAACAGTTTTTTGAGTTCTTTGGATCCAAAATAATACCAACTCCCTTGCTATATTCCTTCCCACCCGAGTAAATAATTCTGTGCTGATCTGAATACTTTTCCCCTGCTCCTGGCCATCGCATTTCAATAATTCCTAATATGTTGATGTTCATTCTCTTCATTTCCATCTTGATGTTATCCAGCTTTCTGTTTTGTATGAGTGTTCTGACATTCCATGTACCAATGTTCATGATGTTTCTACCATTAAGTTTGTCTATAGTAGCTGGATGACGGTCGGGTATCACCCATAGAACATGATGCTCCCTACCAGACGAGATGATTCCACCGGAATCCCCATTCATGTCGTTCTCTGAATACGTATTATTTTGAGGCATTATTTTCTTGAGATAGTACAGCAGTGGTTTCCCCTTGCCTTCCGCCAGGTTGTATATGGTTTGACTCCAATAGCCTTTGTCTAAAGAGACTTACCCTGCAAGGCAGCAGGGGGAAGAGGTTATGGCGCCTCTTACCCGCTGATGGCCATGTCGTAGAGTTTTGAGGTATTTTATAGAGTTAGCTGTCCCACCAACTAACTCGCCTCCTCTCAATGACCATCACCTGTTTTCGTCCACGGTCACTTATTCAATATATTCGTGGCTAACCTCTATATCTAGAGGCCTTTCCACCATCCACCACCTGGTGGACACGCCTAGTAGTAGGACAGGCTCCTACCCCAGGTCTTCAGTATTAGTGATGTCTAACCAATGATTTTTATTTGCTTTTTTGCATCTATATTCTGTTATTGTTTCTATCTGTGTCTTATTTCACATGATTTTAGTTTTCACCAATTGTAAAAATATGATTGAAGTGATAGTTCAAACAGTGATTTGATATTTTCCTTTTCAGAAAATTGAGACACAAGCCAGTAAGCTGTGCCAGAAATACAAAGACAGAGCCAAGGAGATAGAGTTAAAGAAACAGGAGGCTGATGACAACTGGGAGAAATTAGAGGATTTATCAGACAGCAGGTAGGTGTTTTAAAGTATTTTACATTAAAGAAAAAAATAGGCACAGATAATGATTGTAAGGGTCAGAGTTAGGAGCGAGATTGAGATACAGGGATTGCAGAGAGGAAAGATATTGGGGGGGGGGGGGGGGTGAAGAGATGATATATGTAGCCTATTGCACTCACAAGAATCTTTGTCTTTATCTTTTAATTTGAATTGAGACTTGTGTTTGTCTTCGATATGGTGTAGATGTCTTCATTTCTGTACACATCGTAGATCTAATGAAAAGAATGAGAAAAATATGTGTTGCTGTTCATATCTTGCTTTCTCATGTTATTAGTTAACAGAGGGAAAGAAAAAGTAGAGTAAAAATATAAATAATATTTAATGTTTGATTAGGAATCAACATGACAGAACTCGGGACAGTCGCATAAGTGCTCCCTCCAAATTTTCAGCAGCAAGAGCTGAGTTCCAATTCCAGTGCTTCAGTTCACTGCCATGTTGTGCAGAACTAGCCAGTCTGTCTTCTTCTTCTTTTTTTTTTTCTTTTTTTTGGGTCATCTCACTGATACCAGGTTGTAGCCCAGTGTTGTGGTTTTCTGTATTGTTCTGCGCTTTTTGTGTGGCTTGAGTGATGGATTTATTCAACGTTTTGCAGGTTTAACCAACACCATTTATCCATCTCTTTCTTTGTCTTCCTCTCCCCTTCCTCTTAGATGTTCTACTGTAAAAAGCCTCATATGCAGTCTGGTCTGGCTGCATTCTCACTAGATGGCCAAACCAATTCATTCTTTGTCAATATAATCCAGACATGGTTTTATTCCAACTTTCTCCCTAATGCTGGTATTCGTAACCCTGTCTCATAAAGCGCTGTTAATGACCTTGCGGAGACAGTGCATTTCACATCTAGTTATTTTCTGTTCTAATGCCCTGTTAATTGTCCATGTTTGGCACTGATAACATAAAGTTGGGATAAAGATGAAATTAATCATTTGCTGTTTTGCTGGAAGGGAGACATTTTGGTGTCTAAGCAGCGAGGCTAACTGGTAGGTGACAGCATTTGCCTTCTGTACTCTGGCTTCTATCTCTTTTTCGAGTCTGCCATCCTACGTAAATATGCTTCCTAGATATTTGAATTCTTATACTTGTTTGATTGTAGTACAGTTAACATGAACGTTCATGACATTATGTTTCCTGCCTATCCTCATTACCTCAGTTTTCGCTGTGTTTATTCTCATGTCATATTTTGTGCAGTCTTGATGAAAGGAGTCAATATTGTGTTGTAAATTCTTTTCTTGGTGGTGTATTAGACACTGATCATCTGCAAAAAGAAGTTCACTGATTTCTGCAGTGTCTGTATTAGCCTCCTGTGTTATTCTATCCATGTAAGTAAAGAATAGCAATGGTGAGAGGACACATCCTTGTCCAACACCTGATGAGATAGGAAACCAGTATGTCATTCCTTCTGTTGTTCTTACTGTGCACTGACTATCTTAGTTAAGAGCCATGATGTTACCCAACAGTTGATCTTGAATAACATACTCTTCTAGAATTTTCCACAGTTTGCATCTGTTGACTTGATTGAATGCCTTCTCTTGATCTATAAATATAAAATATTGGCTTCGCCTTCTCTTGATCTAAAAATATATAGTGTTGGCTTCTATTATATTCAATAGACTGCGCACATATCTGCCTTAAAGAAAATATTGCATCTTCACAGCTCTTTCCCTTCCTAAAACCGAACTGTATCTTACTTAACTTGGGCTCTAGTACTGGTCGAGCTCTAAGTTCCAATATTTTTGCAAACATCTTTCCAGTATGGCTTGCCAGTCTGTCTGTCTGTTCATTTCCTGATACACTAGCATATCCTGGGGAAAATATCCAAAAGATCTTAACTACCCTAGCTAGCACCATATGCCCAAACAGTTTCAAGAAGCGGAACAAATAAGTGACCTAGCGTATAAAGTGGTCTTTTTCTCTGACGTGTGTTGGAGATATAATAGGCCCATATGTTTGACAAAAAAGTAGATCACAAGGAGTGGTCCTAATAGTGGTTTACTGACGTTTTTACTTTCATAAGTTATTACTTTTGAAAAAAAAAGTTAGTTATAACATTAATTAACTAATTGTTAACTGTAAAATTGACATACAGAGTTAATTTCTTCTTTAATTAAATTTGGGAGTCCCCGTGGCGGAGCGGCTAGACGTTCGCCGGGGATCTGAAGGTTGTGGGTTCGCTCCCTGGCAGAGCCGGACTTTTTTAAAAAATGACTTTGGCTCCCAGGTCAACCAGCCTTGAGTGGGCACCGGGTGCAGTCCCAGGAAGTAGAGGCGGCCGGCGTGATGCTGACCAATCACCCATCTTGGGCCGATTGGTCTTTAAAAATATAGGTCTAGCCCTATATGCCCTATATGCCTAAAGGCGTGGAAAAAGGTCCTTTACTTACCTTTACTATGCTTTTTAATTAATTAAATTTATCATCCTTGGTTAGATTGTATTAAGTTAAACTGCATATATAAAAATTATGTTTGCTCTTCTTTTCAGGAAAGCAAAACTGGCAGAGTCCTATAAACTACAGAAATTTCTTACAGATGCAAGAGAACTTGTAAGTTTAATTCATGTTTATTTTTTTTTTGGGGGGGGGGGGGAGGGGGGGGGGGGGGGTTACGTGGTTAGTGATAACTATTATTAGCCGTAAGCTTCTTTCTTTTACTAATTCAACACTGAACACAAGTAAATTACCCTTGTTTACATGCCATAATGTGGACCCCAACCCAGCTGTGCTTGGCTGGACTTCCGGATAAAGCAGCCTAAATATTAAATGAGCACCAATAAATTAATGGGAAGTAAAGTTGGCCAATTTGATATTGGCAGTGTCTCCTATTAAGCATCTTTTGGTCTAAAAATATTGAATAAGCATTATATACCCTTAGTCCTTCTCCATTCCATTCTGCCCTGTGCAATTAGTTGAATGTCATGGATGGAATCCAGTCAGCAGCTTTTGCCTCTCTTATCAATGTCTGTCTTAGGATTTTACTAAGCCTAAAATAAAGTATCAGGAAATTCTGGAAGTAGTGACGACAGTGTAATGTTGACCCCATCACTCATGGAGTGATTACAGTACAAAAATATTGGTCTAGCACCGTTTGTTCTAACAGTTTCAAGAAGTGGGGAAAAAAAAAGATCCTTTGCTTTTTATCATAAACTCAATAAATGTCATAGTGTAAAAAGTGGCCCTTTTCTTGAAGGTTTGTTGGAGATATGATACTAGGCCCGTTTGTTTGAAAAACAAGTATATCATAAAGAGTGGTGTTAACAGTAGTGTGCTGTCATACTTACTTTCACAAACAATAACCTCATACATAAGAGTAGAGATAAAGACTGCAACTGCAAAGCTGAATTAAACTCCTGATTCCATAAAGTCATTGTTAATTGTCGATTTTTGATAAAAGCTTCTCATTTATCTTTAAACATAAGATTACATTAAGTTAAACTTTAAGGGGAAAAGTAATATAATCTTTTTCCCCTTAAAAGGCACGATGCAAAAGGTGAATAAGTGGGGTGTTTCTTTCGGTGTCAGAGTGCACTTGCCTGAGAGATGGAGAACCAACAGTCTTTATACAAATAAGCCATATTTGTAAAATGGATTTGTACGTAAAACTAAAGTTATGTAATGAGACCAAAGTACAGAAGTGGATGAACAAAGAAAGCGTTCTGCCAGAATTTACATTCGGTGTACACTAAAAAGAAGAAGTTAGATTTATTTTGTTCAGTTTATCTTTTCTGTCAGTGACAGTTGTACAAGAGACAACCCGATTGTGTGCATGTGATACATCCTTGCATTGCTGACTGTTGCAGATAGGTTAAAGGTGCTGCAGGCTAAGCATAACTCAGAGTACCTGCAGACAAAGAGCACCCTCTGTATGAAGCTTTGGCTGCAGGCAAGGGATAGAGGCTGAAAAGGCGAAAATAATGGATTGCTCAAGCAGAAGACACAATAAAACAAGTATTTAGTCTGGAGAACATTGGGTGAGGAGAGGAGTAGGTCAGAGTACCAGAGGTAAAGTCTGACCTCTGTGGGGCCATGATCACTTTGGGCCGGAAGTCCAACAGTTGATTCATAACAATTCTCACCTTGATGATCTGATTATACAGATGGTTCTGTGTGAAGAGAGAGGTGCCTGGTGGTTCTTAGTGAAAGCCAGTGGAAAATCTTTAGTGCAGGACAGCCTAGCATAAGATACCACAACATCTAGCATGAGAAAAAGAGGTGGTCACTGCAGCTTTCAGGTGGTTAGAGAACAAGATGCATACACATATCGTAACTGTAACAGACTTTGAAAGCATGCTGATAAAGGTGAAGACAGGGAGGCTTCGAGCAGAGTGACAAGCTTCACTGGAAGAGTCATGGGTAATGAGCATACTTTAGATCTTTTCTGCAGGCCATGCCGGCATGGTGAAGAATGAACAGGTGGACAAATTGGTTGGCTCTGCACCACTGGATGGTAAATTGATACATGACAAGGCAGATGTGGTCAAGGCTTTTTGGGAACAAGTAACAAAGTCAGAAGAGAAACAAGATTATTATGACCTGGAGAGAATGATGCACCTAAGTGTAACCAGAGGGCCTGGCCAGCTTACCACACTCAGAGGAAAAGCAAGAGGGATATATAATCAGATTACCTCTGGTACCATTAGTACTGGAACTCTGCACTGGCTGCTGAAGATGAGGAAAGAGCGCCCATGGAAATGCCCTGAGTGCTGTGATGTCAATTCTGGACTTAACTCAACTTCACGCAGTGACAATTGACCGCATGTTGACACACAAAATGGGTACTAACTTATTCACCCATCCACACTCTTCTCCCTTACCCACACACATATGCATCCAATACCACCACCCACACACACTCACCACTACCACACCAAACATATACACCACACCACACACTACAAACTCACACACACCATTCAAACTCTATAACACATACACACCACTCAGACATCACACACATAACCATCCCCCCTCCCCCCAACCCTCATGAGGCAGGAGTGAAGTTATGTTAGCAGAAGTCTTCATCATTAAAAAAATAAAATAAAAACTAACATAAATAATAAAACTTCTTGTCATCTGCAGATCAATTGGTCCAATGACATGATAAACAAAATGAATGCCCAAGAGCTTGCTAAGGATGTCACAGAGGCTGAGAATATGTTGCAGATGCATCATGAGAGGAAGGTGGGAACACAGTTTTTTTTTTTTTTTTTTTTATAGTTTAGCTGCTTTCATTGCTGCTTTTTAAATGAGAATCTGTTTGTCCCTTGCAGAAAGTTATTTTCATCATGACATGCTGGAAAACCACTCTGTCCCTTGCCAAGTGCTCTGCTTTGTGAACTTCTATACTGTGAACTTGTTCACTGCATTGTTGGTTGATTCCTGCCTCTTCTTCTAGGTATCATACACTTGATAACTGTTCAAACAGCACTGGCATTTAATATGCTCAAAGTATTTGTTTCTGGCCATTTCTCCTTATGTTGAGATCCTGAAGAATATCAGTACTGTTAAATAAATAACATGTTTTTTTAGTCATAATCTTCCCCATTCCTTAGCTTTTCATTCTCCATGGTCCTCCTCTCTCTTCATAATTAACTGGTACCCATTCTACAAAAAAACAATTTACCCTGTCTTCCAAGTCGATTGTTCCTAGGAAATATTGGCAGAGGTAAAGGCAGCTGGTATAAAGTTGACCACATAACCTATTAAATGTCATTTAATTTGTGAAACAAAATAGGGTCATCTCCATGTACCAAGTATATCTCAAAGAACAGTAGAGGGTTCTGTAATTAAACATTTTGTGTTGCTCGGTCAAGTCATGAGCCAACTGGATGGACACATGCAATGATTTTAACAGGCTCACAAAGCAGGCTGAGAAATATGGATAGATAACAGCAGACTACTTGAACTGAGGCAAGCACAGGTTCTTAAGTCCTCAGAAGTTAGCATCCTTGGTTCTCTTCGCCAAGGTATTCAGGTGTATGAGGTAAGGAACAGCAGACCAGAATGTATAGTGAGTCATCGGTTGGTGGATTCATTGATGCATGACAAGCAAGCCGTGGTCAAAACACTTTGGGGAAGCAAGTGATATTAATTTGAAGGCCCCAAAAAAATCATTATAGCCTGGAAAAAATGATGCAAAGGGGAGTGATACGAGGATCTTAGTGACACTAAACTCAGAAGAGAGGCAAAAACAGACATATAATCAAACTACTACTGGTACCGTCATCATTTTAACTCTTAAGTGCTGCTAAAGATAGGTATGGAATGTCCCGAGTGCACTGATGTCAGTTCTTAACTCTATTCGGCCAACTGGACAAATTCCTGTCAAATCTGGCACAGTTTTTAAACAGGGAACACAAACCTCTATGTTGGTAGTTCTTTTTTTTCTTGGGCAAATATTTTTTTTTAACATTGCTGAATTGTCTTTACCATTTGCTTTCTTACATTCACTTGTATTTTAAAAAGAAACTTTAAAATTGTTGCTTTACTATAAAAGTAATGTGAAATTGACCTTTTTGTAGGCTGAGATTGAAGGACGCAAATCTCACTTCTCCACTGTGAAGGACTTTGGAAACAGCCTCATCAACAGCAAACATTATGCGAGTGACGAAGTCCTGAAAATGATCAAACAGCTAGACACAACTCGCCTTGCCTTAATTGGTGCATGGGATAAGAGGAACACATTACTTACCCAGTGCCATAATTTGCAAGTGAGAAAACATAGTATCTGTTTAAGTAAAATTGTAACCATTTCTAATTACACTTACCTTTTATATTTATTGGTTGAGCTTTAATTTTATTCTTCTTCTTCTTTTGAATTTTTTTTAAAGGTTGTTTCTGCTGCACTGCATTACTTTTCAGAGACAGGTTTGGAAGATATTCATCCTCTAAAGAGCTTTTATGTGCTGGTGTTTATTGCATCCTTTATGTTGGTAATAATTTGTTGTATCTGCATCTTGCACTGTTTCCAACATATTTACCTTTCAGTTTGGTTTGAGACAGCCCGTTTAAGGCAAGTCTTATTAGACGACTGAACTATCTGACACTTTGTCTTTTTATAAAATCTATTACTGACATTCTGCCCACTGATGTTGTCCATTCTGCCTAGTTATTTCAGTAGTAATATAATGTTGTAATGAAGATTGTGTGAATATTTGTTGTTTTAATTTGCTAATAATATTGATACATATTGCTTATAATGTCGGTGACATCTTGACAATTATAAGACTGATTGTTACACTCGGAAAAGGATGGTTGGGGGGGAGGGGGGCGGGGGTGGGAGGGAGGAGTTAACTGACATTTGTTTTATTTCTCACATATTCACATATTCATATATGTGTACTCACATATTCACTTGATCAGTTAACATTTTAATTTATAGAAGAAAACATGTTAGAATTATTTAGAACTGTCAATGAGAACAGAGTAAAGAGATAAAATGCCTAAGGTGAAATTTATGTTAGCACACACAGATAACAAACAGCACTATCGAACAGGGGCTATAAGAACAGGAAAGGAAGCCCACACCAAAGCATATGAAGAAGTTCATTTTGAATAGTGTAAATTGTATATTTGTGTTAACCATAATCACTATATTGAGTGTTGCAAAATATAATCACTATTTTCTGCACCTCCTCCCTTCCATGTGTTTGCAATCCATTGGGTTTAACATGTTACATTAGAGTTTATATAACTATATATTGTCACCCTTAACATTTTTTTGTTATGTTATCTTTCTTAGATTTTTAAAGAAACAGCTGAACAAACAGAAACTTGGATTGGAACAAAAGAAGCATTCCTTGCTAATGAAGATGTTGGGGTAAGAAAGGCAATTTTTATATATATTAAATTTCATATCATTTCTCCACAGTACACAATAAGAGTTAATGAAGAGTACTCTTGTTTTCTTCTAAGACAGAGGCAGAGAGAGAGAGAGAGAGAGAGAGAGAGAGAGAGAGAGAGAGAGAGAGAGAGAGAGAGAGAGAGAGAGAGAGAGAGAGAGAGAGAGAGAGAGATGCTGGATGAAACTAAAGCATATGTCTATCATTTGAAGATGTTGGGGTAAGAAAGGTAATTTTTATATATATTACATTTCATATCATTTCTCCACAGTACACAATAAGAGTTAATGAAGAGTACTCTTGTTTTCTTCTAAGACAGAGGCAGAGAGAGAGAGAGAGAGAGAGAGAGAGAGAGAGAGAGAGAGAGAGAGAGAGAGAGAGAGAGAGAGAGAGAGAGAGAGAGATGCTGGATGAAACTAAAGCATATGTCTATCATTTGAAAATTAAATTTAAAACATAAACATTTTGGTAAAAGAAATCAGTTTTGATTTAGTTGAGTGTAGTAATATTTGCAACTTTTCCACCTGAAAGCTTCTTTTTAATGCAGTCAGTTTAGCTTCTTTGTGCGCCCTCTCTCTGCCGTTCAATGTGGTTCAAAATCTAGTTATAGATTTATTTAATGTCAAAGCTACACTAGTAAAAAATTAATTGCAATTCTTTTGCTATTTAAGAACAGCTTATACTTGTAGAAATTTGTTTGCTTGCTATCTTTTAATTTAAACATAACCTTATGCTAGTAGAGAATAAATTGCAAGTCAATTTGTTTTTCACAGAACTCCTTATACAGTGTTGAAAGTTTGATGAAGAAACATGATGCATTTGAGACGACAACTAAAGCCCAGGAGGACAAGATTGAAGATCTGAAGCAGTTTGCAGCTGACCTCTGCGCAGACAACCATTATGCTGCTGATGAAATCAATGCTCGCTGCCAAGCTGTGCTGAATAGAAGAAAACGCATGTGGGAGATGTCACAGGCTCGCAGAAAGAAGTTGGTGGACTCAAGAAACTACCAGTTGTTTTTGAGAAACTTATACGAGGTATAAAGAGATTTATGTGTTGGGCTTAAGTAGATGACATGCTTCCACAAAGTATCAGCCTTTGTCATCATAATCATGCAGATGTGAAGGTGTTCATGTTTTGTTCTTTTATATGTGTTGATGTAGACGAGGGCTGTTCAGCTGGTGGCCTGTGGGCCAAATCAAACCTAGCAAGTGGCCCATGTATCACTAGTGGTTGAATTGTATTAATAATCTTTCTGTGATGGGGCTCAGTCTACTGTCTCGTGAAAGTCATCATTTTCAAAGTTTTTGCTCCTGAGTTATCTTAGTTGAACAGCCCTGATGTAATGCATTTGATAAGATGACAGTGAAATATTCTGGGCCATAAATTGTGCATTATATTGTTTGCGGCCTCACAATTTAGTATGATTATATTTTCTGAATAACTTAAAATCACTTTCCCCCCTTGATTACTGCAATATTTGTTATCTTAATTTAGCTGTGTCCTAACCCTTTAGTTGTTATGTGGTGAGCTTAATTACAAACAAAGATATTTATATGTCTTATTTATGAAGTTATACTAAATTATTTGCATTTAGCAATATCTTCACCTTAATTATACAGTGAGAGGCATCTTCTGCTTAGCTAAGCATGTTTTTAAATCAATATAAAGGTGCATCTGCAATCCTAATGTGTGCCTTGTGCCTTTTGATATTTAAGTTTTTTGTTTTGTTTTGCGAGCAATAAGCATTCTTGTCTCAAATGATGGTGGTTTCTTGCTCAGGTGTCTGCCTGGATCAATGAAAAGTTGCAGATAGCCTTAGACGAGTCTTACAGAGATCCAACAAATCTTCAAGCCAAGTTGCAGAAACATTCAGCATTTGAAGCTGAACTATCTGCCAATAGAAACAGAGTGGACGCAGTCGTTGAGGTTGGTATACTTGTTCAGTTATAGTATTCACATTTGGCAGGGTTTGTCCGTTTTCATTTTTGTGATCAGTAGTTATACTGTTTAAATCCTATACTGTATACTGATGTATGGAAGTGAATTATGGATGGTTGGATGAATAGTGAAAAATTATGTGTAAGTGGCAAAGATGTGGTTTATAAATGGATGATAAGAATACCATGCAAAAATAATAAGAGTAATAAAGATGTCTTGAAGAAGTGATTCAGAGAACTGATTGCCTAATTTAGTAAAAGATTATCTATTTTGCTGGTTTTATCATAAGAAAGAGAAAACAAATTCATCAAGATGGTGGGAAAGCTGGCAGGGTTTTAAAATATGTAGAGGGAGACCAAGAGAAAAGATGCTGGACAGTTTGACATCACTGCATTGGAGATTGTCTGAGCCAGAATGATTGAAAGTATACGAGATGAAGGAGTGGATAGGTATGATTACCAACGCTAGATGGCATGGACCAAAAGAAGAAGTAGTTATATTCAAGTGGACAAGGTCAAATTGTTTTTGGCAATGACTCCAATGGGTGTACTAATTATCCATTTATATATTTAAAAAAATGTAAAGAACCCTTTTCACCCAGTAACGCATCAGGCATATGATGCCAAATACATATTTATATAGACCAGTTGGGCGTTCATTGGGTCAACATTTTACCAGTCACCTTTACTTCAAGCATATTTCATGGAACCCATGTTACGCTGGGTCACCCAGAGAGTGAAGCTTTTTCTCTCTCCAAAATGCCAGTGAAGATTCAAACCTAGGTTTTTTGGGCTGGCAGGCACGTATATAGCCACTAGGCTACAGCAGCTCTTGATTATTCCTTCATGTGGAATCCAGATAAAACACCAGATTCTACTCTGTAGATTTAGTATGTTGTCATTGTGATCTTATCCATGTTTCAGATTTGCTGCCATTTTATATCTGTCTTCTTCAGTTTTTCAAATCCCTATGGAGCATAGGCCCTCCAGCTCATGCTAAGCTCTGTATAAACTTAATAATGTTTGCATTTTGCAGATAATGTTATGTAATGAAGTAACTAGTTTCATATACCCTAGACATATAACAAAGAGTAATGAATATATCTTGAAAGAAACTAGCTCATGGAGAGAACTGATTGAACACATCAGAAAGAGACAATCTACATTCTTTGTTCATGTCATGAGAACGGGAAAACTGGAGTACATCATGACAGTGGAAAAGAAGATGATGGGCAGTTTGACATCATGGCATGGAAGATTGTCTGTGTCAAGAGTTGACCGAAAGTACTTGAGACAGATGGTCGTGGACAGACATGACTGCCAACACCAAAGGGCATTGACTTTAAGAAAAAGAACTAGTCTCGTACCAGTGTTCCTTATTTGAATGTTATAGCATGCGTGCTAGATTTAATAGTTACTGTTATTTGCTTCCTGAATATGTCCTGGTAACAGATAAGCGTATATTTTTTCTTGAAAGAGGGGAAATATTTGTATCAAATAATATTGATCATCAGATAAGTTGCCATTTTCCTGTTGAAAATTACCTGCAATGAATCATTGGTATTTTATGTGTTTCACTGAGATGACAGTCTATATCTCTTTTCAGTCCATCCTTTGATGATTTTTTCCCACTTCTTTCTTTTGTGTTATCATTTAACCTTTCCCTCTGGTATGGTTCCACAGGAAGGCAAAGGTTTGGTTGAAGAAAAACACTATGCCAGAACAGACATACACAAGAGGCTGGAAGAGTTAGAATTGTCCTGGCAAGCACTGATTGCAGCAACAGCAGAAAAGAAAGACAGACTCCAGGATGCATATCAAGCCATGCTGTTTAACAGGTAAATACATTGTTGTATTGTGAGGTCAAACTTGTGTATATCAGAAGGGATTAGCATATTTATATTGCAGCAGAATATGTAGGTCAAAGCAATGTTTCCTCATTGTAAATTTTAACAAAGAAGACAAACAATAGATTGCACAATTTATGCCTGGTATTTTTCGCTGTATCTTGTCAGGTGCACACTACAGTAACAATTACATAAATGAAGCAAAAAAGTGAATCCTTTATAATCAATCCTTTACACATCAGCCAGTGGCATAATGCTAAGATTCGTTACCTCTGCCCAGAAATTTGTAAACAAAAAGGTATGATTCTGACACTGCACCCTGGAAAAACAGAAAGCTGCGTTTAATTGTTGTTGGATTTGTACTTCAGTTATAAAGAATTAACTTATTTGTATCAATTATGTCATTGTTAATGTAGCATGTACCTGACGAGATACAGTCAAATATGCCAGGCAATAAATTGTGCAGTCTATTGTTTTTGTCGTCTCTGTTCAAATGTATAAGATTTAAAAAAAATTTATTTTTATTTTTTATACTAATTAGTAATCTTTGTACTGCAAATGACTCAAATCAGAACATGACATAGTATCATGTGATGAAAATGTGGCATGGCAAACATTTGTGTGTGTATCATGATAGAGAGAGAGAGAGAGAGAGAGAGAGAGAGAGAGAGAGAGAGAGAGAGAGAGAGAGAGAGAGAGAGAGAGAGAGAGAGAGAGAGAGAGAGAGAGAGAGGGAGAGAGAGAGATTTTGGGACAATTTTATTATGTTGAATGCTAGTTACAAGTGTTTTCATGCTAGTCTAATTAGACCCTTATTTGTAAGGACCAGTTGGCATATGATGGGTGATGTGGTCAGCATTTATTTCCCAAAATATCTCCTAGTACCAGTATGTGTTGGGTCTTCCTAGGAGCCAGATTTAAATATCTAGCCTTATGTGGATTTGAATGTAAGACTATGGACCCACAGGCACAAGTCTTGCCACCTTGTCTTCCTGCTAAATTATATCATTCATATAAATTGCATCACACCTTTCTGAAAGTGGTTAGCTACCAGTTTTACAAGGCTTATTGGACCCGTTATACTGATTACTAAACTGTACACAAATAATTATTTAACACAGATCATAGTGTTGGTTCATTTGATGATAAAATAGTTTGGCAGACATTTGTGAGCGTGCAAGTGTGTGTAAGAGAGAGACGGAGAGAGGGGGAGATCTTTATTTTTTTCGTCAGTTGTCGCTCACTTAGATCTTTTGAAGAGTATTCTCAAGATTTGCTCATGACTTGAGGTTTACGAAATGTAATGCTAGTAAACTGATGATGAAATGCATTATCAAGTGTAACATTGTGGTGTTTTAAATCACTTGATGCAAATTAGAGTGGTGTCAGACTTGGCCTTATGGATGGATGAGATTGAGAACCAGCTGATGTCAGAGGACCACGGCAAAGATCTTAGTTCTGTCAGCAGCTTACTTAACAGACATCAGGTAAGGCTTCCCATTATCAGTAACTTTACCACATTTATACAGTTTCTTGAATAGTGATTTGAGTCATTGCAAAACTCTCCTGTGTGTGCAGTTACCTTCATATTCGTCCCAGGTCATGCAGACGTTGTTGGTAACGAGAGCGCTAATAGACTGGCAGGTGCTGCAATAATTGAAAATGGCCGGCCCATGTATCACGCAGAGATTGTCAATGCCCTTAGAGAGATCGGACGTTCTGAAGATTTTGAAAGCAACATGTCCACATCACTGCAAAGAATATGAGAACTGGAAGTAAAGATCAGCACAGCCAAGCATGAGAAGCACACCGGACACACACAAAGTCTTGTTAACCAGCAGAGGACTGGCACTATTAACCATGCGATGCTGATGAATGTGTTGAGAAGGGAATCTGAGCGCCTATCGATGAGTCCAGAGAGTGCTGTGAAGATAATTTAACTCATAACTCAGTTTCTTAAATCTGTATGAATTAGTGTGCAATTTGTTTGTTTTATTAACTCTTTAAGTCCCAGGGGGTTTAGCATCACAGGCCCAGGGGGTAGTAAAGAAACTAATAAAATCAGCGCATCATGAGTTCATTGGGCTTCTATGTAGGAACCTATGAATGTATGATGCGTTCCTTGGGACTCAAAGAGTTAATCAAGTAAATGATATTACAGGCCCCTTAAATTTGTTCCACCAAATGGAAAACACTGCAATACTACAAAAAGCAATTGTTCTCTTATTTCTTGTAGAGCTAATTATTCTCACTTAACGGCCTACAATTTTCCCGCAAATATCCAGTGTTTGTTTTATTTAAAATTGACCTGTATTTTTAGCAATGACGACTGGTCCTGCAGTGTGTTTCAGGAGGCATGCACCTTATGGTTTGCCAGATCAAATCGTGTGTGTTTTGCTGACTAAGGACACTTTGTATGGTTACAGCATTCACTTAAACTATCCAGCGTATCTGACTCAGTTTGTGACTGGACTCACTGGCATAGGCGGTTGAGCAATTATGGTCCAAACTTGTTTGCTGTGATGCTGGAACCGTAACGACTAACTAACGAACTAAAATTGACCTGTATGAAAACTGTTAACTAAACATAAATCTTTTTCATGGTCATAATATTAATGTCAAATTTTCATTAATAACTTCACATAAAAACTAAATCACCAGTTAACATTCACACTTTAATTTTTATCAACAGGCAAGAAAGGACAGAATAACTAGATATGGCATTACATAATAAATAATATGTACATTAAAGAAAATAATGTACAATTTATTTTAAAATATAATTACGTTTTTCTTCTCTCTAATAATAAAAAAAAAGTGAAATCAAATGAAAAGAGTAATATAGAGGAAGACAAATGATCACATACAAAACATATAATTTTGTAAAATGTGTGACTGAGCAACAGGCTATGACTGATTATTTTTCTTTGTTATTGACTGTTTAGTGTTAGGATGTGAGTTCATTTTATAAATATATAATATTGCAACATTTCCTATTCTTTCACATGTTAACATTTAATCAGATATTCATGCAAACAAACACAATTGTCATATATAACTAGTTTATTGTGTGTCTCATTAGCAACTGGAGCAGGACATATCATCTCACAAAGAAAAGATCACAGATGTGCTTGATGCTGCTCAGATGTTTAAGGAGGCCAAACATTTTATGAACAAAGAGTTGCAGGCCACCGCAAGAGAGATCTCAGAAAGGTAAATCCTACTTCTCACATTTTTTTTTCAGCTATAAAAGTTGTAATTCTGCTCATCACAGCAGTGTTCTCAGGGAACAAATCATATTCTACTTGAGTGAAAGTGGGAGGCCCTAAAGCAGGGGTTTCCACTGGGGTAAGAAATATTAGGCTTTCACATGTTGTCTGCCACAGCAAGCCCAAAAAATGTGACCTGGAAGTAGAAAGTTTTTTCCCCCCTGATAAGTATGGCTCTAAGACTGACCTAACCTCACAAAACTAGACACCTGATAATTTTTATAACTTTCTGAGAATAGTATGCCAAGGAAAGATGCTATGGAAAGGAAGTGGCCATCCTGTTTTGTATGTTTGTATTTATCCAAACATTTGAATTAATGATATATTATTACAGTTATAATTTAAAGAGCGGTTAAGTAGCTTAGCTGTTGCATTAACTGTAAATAATTGTATTTGTGGCATTACATAATAAATACTATGTACATTAAAGAAAATAATGTACAATTTATTTAAAAAATAATTATGTTCTTTTTCTGCTGTATTATCTGACCTTCGCAATCTATCTTTATTAAAATAGATTCTTAGGGACATAGAGAGTAGAGAAGGCCTATTCGAAACCACTGCCAGAAATTTACTGTAAGTCTATCTGGCAGATCTTATTGCTCACCAGTCCATGGATTCTGGGCTGAAATTTCAGTGAACATATTTGGATCTATTAATATTTATTGTCGAACAGTTTGGACGTGTGTATGCTGATTGTGATGTAGTATACTCATTCATAAGAGAATAAAATTTGTTGATTTTTTTCAACGAATAAATTTTAAAAAAATCACATGCAAACCTCTTTGGTAAGCTTTGGTTATAATTGTGGTCTGTGGTTTGAACTATTTATCCTAGATCTGTGTGGCAGATAAGTCCTGTCTTGAAACTCTTTCTTTGCCACCTATGTTCAAGAAATAAGATTTCATAAACACTTTTTGTTTGTATAGGTACAACTCTTTGCTTGAGCCTTGTCACATCAGAAGAGAGAATTTGGAAGAAGCTCGCCGTATGTACCAGTTTTTCCGTGATGTAGAAGATGAACTATCATGGATACAGGATCGGCGCCCTTTAGCTGAATCACAAGACCTAGGAAATTCTCTTGTGACTGTACAGAACCTAATGAAGAAACACCAAGTAAGAGAAGGAGCATAAATAATTTAGTCTTATTAAAAAACAGTAACAGAAAAATATGAATATTTATTCAGATAGCCTTGTTGATCAGAGCATCAGTGAAAAGATATAATTACTTTAAAAAGTATTATTAGAAACTTGTCTTGCTTTATAGATGCAGTTCATAGGAAATGAGGATATAAATTAGCAAAATCTCTTAAATAGTTTCACCAAAAATGATAATGTTGGAAAATTAAAAAAAGGATATAATAAGTATGCAATCAGTGATATGTGGTAATGTAATGAGAAATGAAATGACATTTATTTTGTAAGTTAAAAAAAAAAAAGAGAAGTAAAGACCCTTTTTATGCCTTTGGATCATTTGGCATATAGTGCTAGACCTATGTTTTTATAGATCAATTGGAAGACGATTGGTAATCTGGTAATCTGGTAATCCTAGTTTCAGCATCATAGCAAACGGGTCACCCCATTGTTGCTCCGCTCCTGTGCCAACGAAAAACACTCGTAGCTCACAGTGTCACACCATGCACTCAACTCAGAAGCTGGGTGATGAAACTATATCCTTCCAGTCTACAAATGGAGCAAAAATGCAACGGCCACCGCCTGGCAGAACTGCCACGGCTTAAAAAAAAAAAAAAAAAAAAAAAAAAAGTGGTCGTGCCTAGTGTCCACTGTGACTTGAAGCATTATGTGAGGGGTTAACAAATGGACGATTGGTAATGTGGCCAGCATGACACCAGCTGCCTTCACTCCCCGTGAATTACCTGGTACCCATTTCCTAATGGGACTCAAGGGCAACTATTAATTGTTAAAGAATAATGCACTCACTAAGTATTTTACCATAGGACATACATTTGTTACACTCGGAACACTATATAATCATATTTATAAGTTAGGCACTGTCTGATCCATCTAACTGTAATATTTATGTATGTACATATATTTGTTTCTTCAATCAATTCTTTGTTAGTAATAATGTTTGACAGAAGATTTAGAAAACTTATCTGAGACAGCCTGTATAACAATGGCTAAGCACACTGAACTGCTGGCCCGGAGGTCATGTGCAGCAGTGATTTTTATTATTATTTTTTTTTTTAAATTACTTGACATTCCTAGTTGACCCAACCTGAAATTTCTTTAGAAGTAAAGGCAGCTAGCATGACTACGTCACACACTGAGTGCTGATTGGTATTAAAACATGGGACTGGCACCATGTGCCAAACACATCTCTTGATTTTAAAAGGGATCCTTTACCAGTTGTTATTTTTTTAGCATGATGTTTATGATGCAGGGGAAACATTAAAAAAATATTGCTTACCCTGGTAAAGACTACTATTTTAATATCTACCTTCCTGTGTGGGGGGTCGGGGAGGGGGGGGGGGTGGGTTGCATGGCCCCGGTTTTATGGAAAACAACAATAGAACCGCTGCCCCCTAAACCAGCATGTCACAAATGCGACTAATTACGGTTTTGCTGAAATTGGACTTGGGTCTGAAATGTGGAGATATCACAACCTAGTTGTTAGTCACAACACAAAATGACAACACCCTTTAAGGATGAACACAAAAGAAGAAATTTGTCACATAAAATAAGTTTGCTGTAGAATTGTTGTTTGTTGTCTATAGGATAATATTTTAAACAAATACAGTTAGTTTACTTCTTTATGTTGCCTGATTAATATAAGGTTGATGAGAAGGATCTTCAAATGCTGGCTTTGATGTATGGCATTATTGATGAGGATGATGATGGTGCAGAAAATGAAGATGATTTCATGATTACTAAGGAGGTTTGCAAGAAACCTGTTGTGAATCACAGATTGAGTTACTTGTCAATTTCACATCTACAAAGCAGTGTTTTGATACAGCGGTTCTTCTTGTGTGAAAAAATTAAATACCTGTGTGCATTATTTACTTTCACACCATTTAAAAGTCTAGTAAACCACTTTGTTACTTGTTACATATTACCCATATCGACATCCCAGCACATTGGTCGGTTCTGTTCATATTCCTTCCTTGAATATAGCAGCCATCTCTGTGTTTCCATGCTCAGCATATCCATTGGTCTTCTGCCTTTGCCCTGCAACCAGTTTTTGCATGCATGTCCTCATTTAATACCCATTTCCAACATGTAGTTCATCATCTCTTAACTCCTTTCTTTGTCTCAGTGTGTCTCAATATCTCTGAGCACTTTGCTTGTGGTTAAAGATGGATCACAAATCTACAAATCTTTTGAGTATGAAATATTTACTATTGTCACAGATTGCCTTACTTCTACAATTTTGTTAGATGTGCTGTTGTTACCTGGTTGTCTCTGCAAATTTTGATAGACGTGCTGTGTCACTGTCACACTTTGTTTTCAACTTTCACTCTTACTGTAATGAATCATTTTCTCATTTTTAATGTTCTCATCATTTGTAAAGGAGGTTAAATATTAAGCATAAATAATGTGCTTGAATTTGGTTGAATGGTATTAAGTACCAAGTATAATGTATGCATGAATGGATCGAGTAATGAATAACTTGAGACAAGTGTGCAAGTTGGCTGAAGTGTGCCAGATGAGAAAAACATGAGGAAAAACATGAATCAAGTGTGGAATGTTCGAGAACCCGTGAGGGAAATAGGCTTTTTAAACCTGGATCGAATGAGAAGTATTACTCTTGTTTTTGATGTTGAGAAAGCTAGGTTATATGGCACTTGAAGAATGGGAAGGGAGTAAAGCTTGCACAATGTCGCAGGGGTTTCAGGTGTAGCGAGTCATATTTTACTGCTTGTCAGTGGCCGGCGATATCGCGTCATCTATGCTGTGAACTTTTAACAGTACCAAAGCATGTACAACTAGGCCTAATCCCCCCCTTCCCCCTTACTCCATAGCCACAGCCTATGTCCCACGACTGTATGCAGCCTATATTATACGCTGCTTACAGTCGTGCAACCTAGGATGCATTCCTGCGACATGGGGCAAGAGCTACATCAGATTGAGGCATCAATGGTTAGAAAGTCACTCTCATTGTGGGCCACTCAGTGTGATTAGAACCGCAGGTAGTTAGCCAGCCACTTTGTGGAGCAAAACTAAACCAGGTGGAATAAATACCAGTACTGTGAAATAATTCCTCAAACCTAGACTTGCCTCAACTAATAAGAAAAGAATTAAAAAATAACAAACAAAAAAAACAAGCGACAATAAATTATTTGATGGTTATTTATTTAAAGGCAATTTTTACATATATTTAAATCAGTTTTTAGAGAATAGAAAATGTGTGGAAGAAATGACATTTAATCTTGTAAAGTGGCTGGATGACCACACTTACAGCTTCAAATATCTGAGAATGGCTCCCTGTGAGATGTATTTGTTATGATCCATCAAATAAAATTAATGTTTTTATTTAGCAGTCATTTACACAGCAGTAAACTTGGCTTATTGGCTCAGATGAGATAAAAATGAATCTTATATAATTGTAACGTTTACATAACATTCTCAGGATATTAACTGATTTGGATTTCATTTTCATTAAATAGCCCATAGTTCCTACAATAATTTAATGGAAAAAGTGAAGATCAAATATAATTGTCAGTCCAAGACTATTTTCTGTGTCATTAGATAGGTTAGAAGCAGCAAATGCAGAGTTTCTGTTGAACAGCTCAACAAGCATTTTGTAACACAAATAGCTCACCTGTTTAAAATAAAATTTGATTTTATATATTTTTTTCAAATTTTAAAAGTAATTTTATAAATAATTTGTATAGGAGTACATTATATTTGATATATAAACAATGAGCAGTATGTTATCTTAATTGTTAATTAATTTTAAAATGTCAAAGCATTCTTTTGCTACTTTGCACTAGAAACATTTTTCATTTATTATGGTTCAGTTGAAACAGCTGGCATGTTTTAGTGCTACTACCTGACAAGACATTTGTCTGAGTTCAGTCCTTAGCAGAAGCAGAATGATTTTTCCCCATCGGTACAATACTGAGGGTGATCTAGATTTTCTTTTGTTTTTTTAAAAATGGGAATGAGACAATTCATGGAATTTTCAGCATTTTTTTATGGAGGAAAGATAAACTGGAAGAGAACTAACCACCCATTAACATATCGTAGCCTGCCTGGTACTGCAGCCTAGCTGATAGCAGGATGGACATCAAGTGACAGTTCTGGTCTCAGGTTCGAGCCGGGGGATGGCAGAAAAGCCATAACCTCCCCAGATTAACAGGGTATGTGGCACCAAGGCTGAACGACTTCGATGCTCATGACTGTGAACCAAATGAGCTGTGCTCAAGTGCTTCTGGTTCAGAAAACTAAAAATATATTTGCCAAGAATTTATGAGGCATAATACTTCAAACCACAGTGGAAGTGTCTACTATGAAATAATAACCTTTATCATTTAAATATTTCAAAACAATGTTTTCCCATAATGAATTTAAATAATGCGAACACAAACAATACTTTGCACAATTTATTGCCAGGCATATTTCACTGTATCTCATCAGGTGCACTACTACAGAGTTACATCACATTGAAATATTTACCAAATTTCATTTATCAGAGATGTCATAGCATAAAAGTAGCCAGAGGGAACAGTCATCATCTGTTTTCCTCTCATTTTTCAGGCACTTGAGTCTGAAATAATTGCCCATGAGCCTCTGATTGATGCCGTAGCCTCTTCAGCTCAGCAGATGATTCGTGGAAAACATTTTGCAGCTCCAGAGATCCAGTCCCGCTTGGAAAGTTTGCATAAGAATTTATCAGATCTCAAAAAGAAGACATCGGAGAGGAAGAACAAATTGAGAGATGCATTAGAGGCTCAGAAGGTAAGGTTTGCATTCTGTGAACTGATTATTGCAAGCCATTTGATGTTTCACACTTTTTTGTTTTGAAAATATAAACTCACTTCACATGGCTTCTTCTTGTGTGTGAAAATTAAAAATACATGTAACTTCAGATTTTTAGTGTAGCGTAGTGATTTCTGTCAAGGTATGAGGAAAATTTAAGTCTGTTGTGATGTATATAAGGAGATACTCCGGCCAGCCTTCTTTGTGCTGGTATTACAGAAACCATATGCAAGACACCTCCTACATGTCTCCGGTTGAGTGCCACATTAATCTCTCAAATAAGAATTAACAGAGATGGCAGGGGATTTAGAAACTCGTGGCCCCACAGATGTAGGGTTCAGTCTGGCTCTTATCAGCCCACCCGTTCTTTTAAAACAATGAAAAGCTAACCAAATGATTTATGATGCATCTTCATTGATTGCTCTAAATCGGCAGGTAAAAAGGTATCTTTCCAGATGTGGATGTAAAGAAGAATTTATCTTATTTTATGGATACAAAAACAAATAAAGAAACTGGGAATGAGAATTGTAAAATGAAATTTAACGAACATATTTTGACTATAATAAAGAACATAAGACTCTTATAAAAACAATATTGAAATGAAAATTTCAAGGTAAACAAGCAACAAGTAGAATGTAATACAAATGGGAGGTTAAGATCAAAAGATGGACAACAGTATAACAGTTCTGAGAGTGTCAACCAGGTAATAGTCGTGGAAATTCACTGCAGCCAAACCTCATTCTGGAGACAGTACCTTATTCATTAGTTAAAAGTTAATTTTTATTTGTTATCTTTACATCATTTTGACCATTAATTGTATTGCTGTTTCAGTTCTACACAGAAGTGAGTGAACTTGAGCAGTGGATGAATGAGAAGTTGCCACAACTGACAAGTTCTGATCTGGGCAAGGATGAAGATTCAGTGTTGGTAAGAAGAATGATTTGCCTCTTGGTACTGGTTAGAGTCTGTAGACAGTGAAATACCACAAGCTTTTAAAGGAAACATTTCTGATTAGTGATCAGTAATTAGTGAAGACTATCATCACAGCACTCTGGACAGATCCATAGGTGCTCTGATTTCCTCCTCAGTAGCTCACAAGGGTAAAACAGCTGATCACATCAGTTCTGTGTTGATTAACCAGATGCCTTGTGCCATGCCATGTTCATATCTAACTACTTAAGGTAGCACCTCCATGTCCACCAACCTAGACAAGGACACTGAGTGTTAATTGTTGTCATGATCTTCACTGTGATATGCAGCTCACATGGCATTAATGACAACATTTCTGTCCAGTGCCAGGCCAGTCATGTTAACCGCCTTGTCTGCTAGATAATCTGCACGTTTATTGCCTTGAACACTGACATATTAAAGCAGTAAGATGAATGTAAAGCAAGTTATTTGTGATGCATTTAATGAGAGAATCTATTCATGTCTGATAAAGCCATCTGAATTTTCTTGAGCACATTTACTGAATTGCTCACTCTGCACGCATGTGTGAATTTTTGAGTACCAAGTCATGTCAGTGTCCTTGCTGCAGCCATTGTCTCCATTGTGAGGCTGCTGAGGCACCACTTATCTCTATAATGATTTTTCCCTTTGTGCTCAGGGTGAATACCCATGAGCTTAGCTTGCCCCTGATGACCTATCCTTCTGTGCAAACTACGGCATCATTGACATTTTATGTTCACATCAACCAGTGATTTGACTAAAGTGTTGACAATGCCCAGAATTTTTTCTCTGCAGCTTCTGTCAAAGGAAAACATTTCTGACACTGGCTCAATCCCAACTAACTGTACTGATCATGACCCAAATACATCCAAATATGCTTTTCTATAAATATGAAGATTGTTACCAAGTTTTTGCTTTTCTCTGAAAGTGAAGAAAACCAGTAATATAGATGCTTCTTTTTCTTCTTCTCATTCATTAGCTGTAAACTCTTGTGGAAGATTCTGGTTGTTTGTCCACCTCTGGACTGTAGTCCTCTTCCAGAAATTGAGTGTTGCATGCACATCCATTTCACAGATCTGACTAATTTAACTGCAGACTGTTGGTTCCTAGCCTTTCAGGCAGATTTACTCCGACTTTGAAGGAAGCTCCCAATTAGTCCACTCTTACAACATGCTTCTGGGTAGGTAATGGGTCTATTTTTGTTTTCCCCACAATGGGGCCCCAGAACCCACATTAGGAATATAGATACAACTATTTACTTATTCTGTTACCCAAAGAAATTTTTTTTGTGAAAGGTCAACATAGTCCCATGAAAGATAGTTTTGCTTTGTGCATAGATAGAATTTCACCAAAACTATGTATGAAGATTTTGAATTGACCCCCTTTCTGACTCCTTTGAGTAGGGTGAATCAGTAGTTGTGGTAAGAAATTGCTTCTTCAGCTAGGGTTAACTTTTTAAGTCCCACGGAATGCATCATATATTCATAGGTTCCCGCCTAGGGGCCCAATGAACGCAAGATGCGCCGATTTTACATCTCTTTTACAATGTCACTGTCTGCTTCCTTTATGGTCTTGACCATCTACAGTTAGCCACTGTAAAGTTCTACACTGTTTTTAATACTCATCATCATCATGTAGCAGGTCCTTTGCAGAACGTCGCTCTCACTACAGTCTGCCTGTAAGAAACTCGGTCTCTTGCCAGTTCCCCCGCCTCATAAACATTCACACTCAAGGAGTCACTTATATTCTGTGCCCATCTTCGTGTCGGTCGGCCTCTGCCCCTCCTTCCTGGAACCATGCCTTCTGCTATAATTTTTTCTAATCCATCGTGGCGCTTGATTTGACCAAAATATTTCAGCTTTCGAGAAAGGATGCTGTTTATTAGCCAATCTTCCTTGATGTTCAGATCTTTTAAGATGTCAAATATTTCTCATCTTCTTTGTCCAAGATATTCTGAGAATCTTACTATAGCATTTCAGCTGAAAAGCCCCTATTCTCTTTCTTAAGGACTGAGAGATAGTCCACGACTCACATCCGTATGTAGCCCCAGGGAAGATGCATGTTCTCAAAATTCTAATTTTTATCTCCTTGCTGGTGCTTAACCACAGACTTTTAAGGCTGTTCAATGTTTTTAATATTAGCGTTTGTAATTTTTCTTAGGCTCTCACCAAGAAACTGGATGCATTGGAGAGGGACATTGACAACTTTGCAAACAGCATTGGTGAACTGTCAGCACTTAGCAGAACACTCACTGATAGGCAACATTACGACTCTGAGAATATCAAGAAAACACAGGTATTTTAAAACTTCTGTCTATTTTTTTATTTTTTTTTATTTATTGATGCTGCAATGAAAATAGCTAACAGTTATAATCTATCTTGTTGCATCATTATGTTTCATCCATTCTGTTCCACATTTTTTTGTTTGTTTTGAATATTATGAATGGTGTCTTGTCATGCACATCTCTCTCATCAGTCTTTGTTAAGAATTTCTTTTGGACATCCTCACTGTCTCAGTCCATTTGTTTCCCATTCGAGTACTGATCATTGTGTTATTCGAATGTGAATACTGAAGTGTGCTGTCATCTTTTATCACTGTTGATATCAGTGGTTGTCCAGACTTCTCTGAATTATTTCCTTTCTTGAATTTACCATATTATGTATTTATTTGTCCTTATTGCTTTTTTTTTTTTTTTTAGGTTGGAAGTTATTGGTAGTTAGTAATTACCTAAGGACATTTTTAGAAAGTTAATAATGTCATCAACTGTTTAACTTTTTGTTAAGTTTTAAATTGATTATAAATTGTTATGTAGTTTGTTATAATATATTTCTTTATCATAAGATTGATAATTATATTACCAGTAAATTAATCCTCAGAGAGAAATTATTTATCATATTATCTTGGTCATAAAATCTCATTAGTATTTGATGGAATAACTTATCTCTGATTACTCACAGTTATACTGGAGTGTGTGAAACAATAAAGCATATTTTTAATATTTCACTTGAAACACTGTGGAACAGGCTGAAGTAGAGCGCCAGTATTCCAGGCTGCAGGACCTGACAACACAACGAAGAAAGAAGCTTGGAGACAGCCGCAAGCTTTACGAATTTTACCATGAAGCAGATGTTGTTGAATCATGGATTGCTGAGCGCATGGTTATTGCTTCTTCAGAGGATTATGGGCAGGATCTTGAGCATGTTGAAGTGAGTAACTCTGGTCTATTTTATCTGTAATTATTAGTGATGATTTGTTAAGACTGTAGCTAATGTTTTCCTTTTTTTCTTGCATGCAGTTTTATTATGTTGCTGTTATCTGCATCTTTCCATTTTTCCCAACTATAATGTTATATTTTGCTACTGGGTGACTTGGGAATCACAGCCTAGGGTAATGGTGAGCAGGTCTAGCAAGACTCACACATGTTCAGAAAAGTCTTCCACAGCTAGAGCAGTTTATATGTGGTTTAGAGGTTGCTGTCAGAGAATGTAAAGTTGTAACTATTTTTGAGTGAACAAACATTACTTTTTGACTACCATTACTTTATGGACATAAATAAGTTTATTAGCTGTATTTATCTATGACTGTTTTGTTTTCTACAGCTTTGGTTGATAAGCATTCATATTTTCGTCTTAACTCTTTGAGTCTCAAGGAACGCATCATATGTTTATAGGTTCCTACCTAGCAGCCCAATGAACGCATGATGCGCCGATTTTATTACCTTTTTCACTATCATTTGTAATGCTAAACCCCTTGGGACTCAAAGAGTTAATTGAGAAAAAAAATTGTTGAGGAAAAAAAGGGGGGGGGGGGGGAGGTTGTTTTAAACAAGAACAAAAAAACCAAAAACAAAAGAACTTGGCATCCAGGTTGCAAATCTGGCTGCCAGTGATGCATCATAATTTGGTTGGGACTGAGAATGTTAATCCTTATACATAAATAAACAATGAGATCAAACTAACTGAAAGTAACTCCTGCAACTAGGTGCTGCAGCAGAGATTTGAGGACTTCCTCCATGACCTGAACAACAACTCTGACAGAATAACCCACATTGTAACTATGTCCAAGTCCATGATTGAAGCTGGCCATTTTGAGGCTGAAGGCATTCGAGCAAGGACCAAGGTGATTGAGAGTCAATGGAAAGAACTGAGAGAAGTCTCCCAAGCCAGACAAGATGTAAGTACTGTGTTTGTGACCGTCTATCAGTCCTCTGAACATTCCAGGTACACTTGTTTGATAGCTATATGCTAGAGTAGTGTTTAACAAAATGTTATGAAAATATCTGAAAAACCTTACCTAGATAACAGTTGCTGGGAAATCAGATATATTCCCAAAACTGTCAGTATTGAAGTTCTGCTGTTAACAGTTACTTTATAGGTTTTTAAAGGAAGATGCGCCATGGGAGACACTGGAAGAGAGGTTTATAGACACATGGCTGGCCCTGATCCTAATGACAGCATTAATCATCTAGCAAGAAGGGACCAGGCCACCATCTTCAGACTTAGAACGCCAATAACATCTAAACAGAATACAGCCACAACATTGCTGTTAATGCAGAGGTCAACGCTCTCATCGGTGAAAATTCAGACGAAGCAGATGCAATAATCTATACAGACGGATCCGTTATACGCCAAAGAAGAAGCGCATGGGCATTTACAGCACGCTCAGCAGGCAGAACAGTCAAAGAAGCCAACGGCGCCTTCTCCATGACAACCAGCAGCATGACGATGGAGGTGATGGCAGTGACACAAGCACTTGCCTGGCTTGAAACACAAAAATACACCCGCGTGTGTATACTCAGTGATTCAATGAGTATGATCCGGAGGGTTCAGGCAGGTTCAGTGCGAAGACAATGGCTTGAATCATTACAGAAGTCCACTGTCCGTGGAGTCACCTTTATTTTTGTTCCGGGACACGCAGGCGTCGATGGAAATGAAAGAGCTGACAGGTTGGCTGGATCCGCTATCACTACCGACGGTCAGCCTATGGATCATGCTGATATTATCAATGCCCTCAGAGAAATGGGAAGGATAGACGACTTTGGTGGCAGTGAATCCACATCACTCGCCAGAATGGCAGACTTGGGAATTAAGATCGGCACAGCAAAAAACGAGACGCACACCAGCTACGCCAGAAGACTTGTTAATCAACATAGAACTGGTACTATTAGCCATCAGACGTTGGGGTTCATACTGAGGGGAGGATCTGAGCACCTATGGACATGTCCGGAGTGCAATGAGGATAACCCAACTAACTAACTAACTAACAAAATTCCCCAGAGTGCCAGCTATGTAACTACACCTATGAAACTGTTGAACACCATATCTTTGAGTGCCCAAAACTCAGCGAGACTAGAAGAATGCTACTCCCTCAGAGACCAGACAAGTGGAACACCTTGTACGGAGGAAAAGAACAGCTTGTGAAAACATGCAAATTCCACTACATGGCATTGGGCCAAAGGGCGAAATCTCATGCGTCGCTGGATCAATAACAACAACAACAACAACAAAAGAAGAATGACAAATGAGACAATGGAAACTTAATAAAAAAATAATAAACTAAACATTTAATTATAAAAAAGAATTTACTGAAGGTAATCTTATGAACAAAAGATGACATCTTTTATTGACTGTTGCTGTTCTTCAACCTTGAATTGCCAAGGAAAAAGGACCTTTCCGCATGTAGTAGTTGGCTTAACTGACACATACACATCATCTTGATTAGCCAGACTATATCAAGTGGAAATCTGTGAATGTTTAAGACTTCATTGACAGACTTAAATTGTAATGAAATGTTTATAGTTTGTTTATATTGTCCATCTTTACATAAATGTTTGCACTTCATCTCTTCAAGTGTATGACACATATGCCATAAAACTGGTATACCATAAGGCTCATCGACCAAGAGGAATGTCCTAAACTCATGAAAATGTTTTCCTTTAACATGTTTTCTAACAAAGGAATGAAAACTAGTTGCAATTATGGAAATATTTCTTGAATGTCTCATGCAGTGTTTTTGTGTGTGCCTCTCTCTCTCTCTCTCTCTCTCTCTCTCTCTCTCTCTCTCTCTCTCTCTCTCTCTCTCTCTCTCTCTCTCTCTCTCTCTCTCTCTCTCTCTCTCTCTCTCTCTCTCTCTCTCTCTCTCTCTCTCTCTTTCTCTGTGTGTTTGTATACATGCTTGCTTGTGTGCATGCATAAGTGCGTGAGTGTGGGTGGGACAATACACATACAGATTACTTGCTAAAATCCCCAAAAAATTTTAAAGGGGTGGGGGGGGGGGGGGCACAAACTACTCATCTAGAATGCTTCTCTATTCTATTTGTAACAATTTTTTTTACACATATAAGTTAGACTAAGCACCTGTAATAATGTGTATATATACAGAGCTTTTAATTAAATATACATCTGTTACCCAAAACAGGCTTTGAATGGTGCTAAAGAAGTCCACATGTATGGTCGGGATGCTGATGACACCCTAGAGTGGATTCAAGAGAAAGACCTGATTGTGAGTGGTGATGATTATGGGCATGACTTGGAGAGCAGCCAGGCACTTATCAGCAGACATGAAGGGTTGGAGGTAAGTCTTCAGTTAGTGGCTTTGATTTACTTTATAATTATAAGGGACAGGACTATATTTGTTTTTGATCACATCAAGACAGTTTAATTTGTAATTTCATATTAGCTTATTAATCACCCAAGTCTGCTTGCAAACACAGTATGTTTCAACCTCTGTTTATAATTGTTGACATTTTCCATCGACAGCCAACTTTTGATTATATTTTTTTAAACTGGTGATTATTATTGCAGACATTTATTTTATATACCCCAAATTGTTGGGAAAGTTAAGCATCTGATTCATTGTTCAGAGATCACTTGGAAGTGTGATATGCTTTCTTTTTCTTGCAATATTATCTTCTACTTGTTAAACCAACATAGTTAGAAATAAATGTCATGGCTCCAAGCTAATCCAAGCTAATCCAGATCCAGTAGCTGTATAGAGATAGGTATAAGGTATACCTCTCATCCACATCCACCCCAAACTCCAATTATTGAGTGAGTAGATATCAATATCTGATCATACTTGCAAGCCCTTTTAAACCTCAGTAGTGGAGTAGAGATGAATTTCACACATGACAAACATTTCAAATTTCCAACAGTTGAGAAGAGATGGATATCATATCTCTATGTCATCCCGAACCTCAACAATTGAAAAGAAAGAAATGCATACCAGATTGATGCTTCATAACTTACTTCATTTACAGCTGTCATTGTACAGTATTATCATTATGCTTTGTTTGTGTATGTTTTGTTGAACACAATCCTGACAGCTCCATAAGACAATAATAGCATATTTTGTTTCCTTGTAGTTTATATAGAACTTGAAACAGATTCCAAATTATAATGTTAATTACATCTCACCATTAAACTTACTCTGGCATGATACTGACATCACCCCTTAAGTACTATCTGAAAAATTACATATTACCAACTACACCTCATGATATCAAATGTTTGGTTTTACTATTTGTATAACTAAACTAGTCAGCATCTGTGGCTTAGGTATTACAACAGGCTTCGTAATGATAGGGTGCTGGGTTCGATTCCGCTAAGGATACTTTGTCTTGTGTTAGTTTTGACAGTGGTACAAAGAGCTGACCAATGACAAAGCAGTGGCAAACTACTGAATGTAAAATTTGCCTAGAAAAACCACAACAGCCAAACAATTCTGGGGTTGGTTCTGCAATGTCCAGTTAACAGAAACACAGCTAACTTTATTGCTAAACTGATTAGAGTTTATTATTTATTCCAGAGAGATATGGCAGCAATCAGTGAGCAGGTGGAGAACATCACTAAAGAAGCAGAGCGTCTGATTAGCACATTCCCTGATGCTCAGGAGCACATAGCAACCAAACATGAAGAAATGGTAGGAGCTTGGAACACTCTGGTTGAGAAAGCCAGTCAGAGGAAAGAAAAGCTAGCACAGGCTGAACAGTTACAGAAGTATTTTAATGACTACAGGGAGCTCACGTAAGCATTATTTTTTTTTGTTATGTATATGAGTTATTATTCTTCATTATAAGTTCATCTTCATCATATTTGCTGTTTTTAATAAATCACTTTATAATTGTAACCAGAGGGTCTGGCCGGCTCACTACACTCAGAGGAAAGGCAAGACGGACATATAACCAGATTGTGACCCGTACCATCAGTATCGAAACTCTGCCCTGGCTGCGAAGATGAGGTCAGAGCACACATGGGAATGCCCTGAGTGCTGTGATGTCAATTCTTGTCTCAACTCAACTCACTTTATAATTGGTAATCTATAAAAAGTTAGCACAGACTCATTTTTTATCCTCATGCACAGTTTTACTATTTAAACCATCAATTATCATTTCTTTTTCAGACTGCTGCTCTAATTATAATGCACCAGAAAGAGTTTTAGTCCCTTATCAATGCCCTTGCCTCATACACTTTCATGTTAAAGTATCTATAAATTCGTAGTTCAGTTTTTGTGCTGATCACTCTCTGCCTCTTCTTACAGAAATCATGCAAATCATCATTATTGTTCTTTCTAAACCACTGCAGCAGCTAGCATTGCTGAAATGTTTGTTGTTCCAACACCTGATGCTGTTTGAGCCACTATCTTTTATGTTCAGATCTTACTGAATGTAAGAGTGTCTAGAGAGAAAAGAATTATCAAACTTTTTTATGCCAGAAAGGCAGGTACATGTCATAAAGCCATATATTATATATACTATACTGTATGAGCAATATCTTATTCTATATTTGAAAAGAAGCTTTGTCAGTAATTTATATTTGATCTATTTCTAGGGCATGGATCAGTGAGATGATGGCCATAATTACTGCCGATGAACTGGCACATGACTTGCCAGGAGCTGAGGCTATGATGACTCGCTACAAGGAGCACCGCACTGAAGTGGACAGCCACAATGAGGCATTTAACAAGTTCTTCCAGAGTGGTCAGTCGTTCATTAAACGGGGACACTTCCTTTCTGATGAGGTTTGTGCCAAACAGAATTTCTTGTATGAGAATGAGAAATATGCTTACATTGTAAAGTTATGTGTTAGAATAGTAAAATCAAATGAAAAAAGAATGAATATATTATTATAAATAAATTCTCATAAAAATGATATATATATGAAAAGTGCATTCAAATTATATATCGGAATTATAAATTACTTATATGTATATATTAGAATTGTACATTATAAAGTTGTGTGAATGAGAATTATAACATACAGGATAAAGGTATGTGTATTATAGGAATCAAATGTACCCTCGGATTATAAATGTTTGTATGTCTTAGCAAGCACACTCACATCAAAGTTATTTATGCATTAGAATTGTGAATATATTCACACTATAGTTATTTATGTTTTAGAATTATAAATACACTCACATGAAGTTGTGTATGCTTTAAATTTGTTTAGGGTGACAAATGTGAATAGTTTAAAAGTGCAAGCTGTTATTGTTACAGATTCAGGAGAAAATCAGTCAGCTTGAGCAGTCTCGGGAGGGTCTCCTCAGGACTCTAGAGCAAAGAAGAAACCTGCATGAAAAGAATCTTCAGGCACAGGTAATCTTCCCATTGTATATTTATGCATAGTCTCCTATAATGTTCAGCTATTAAATCTCACAAAATATCGGAAAGATTTGTCTACTAGAAATACATGCAAGATAATTCACCCATTGTTTAGAGATTACAGTGGAACCTCGCTTAACGAGCATAATTCATTCCAGAATCATACTCGTTAAGTGAAACACTCGTTATGCGAAACAATTTTCTCGTATAATTGAATTTAAATTACAATCATGCATTTCATGTCAAAATAAACACTCACAAAATGCTATGTATAATGTTTATTCAAAGAAAAGTATATACATATTGTTAGGAGAGTGAATCATCTTCATCTTTTCTTTAAACGCGTAACAAACCCACCTGGAATGTGAATTTAATTTTGAAAAAAAAAGTGAAATAATTATGATACATAGCTAATTATTTTTTTTTCTAGAAAGATGTCCAGAGACATTTGTTTTTGCCGACACTTCAAAATTTAGCAAAATGCGCACAGCATTATCATTAAATAACTTTGCAGCGCGCATAGCCACTTCCTTATTAGGGCGATGCTTCTTAATGTAAGATGCAACAGTTTGCCATGCTTTCAGCATTTCTCTTATGTCGCCAGAAGATTGTTACTTTTCTGTTACCTCCTCCTCCTCCTCTGACAAACTTTCCTCCAAAACTTCTTTCTGTGAAACACAATGCAGCTCCATATGCTCTTCAGTGGTCAGCTCTTTGATATCACTGTTATCCACCTATAATCCCATGATAGTGGCCAAAGACACAATCTTGTTGACTACAGGTTCTACAGGTACTGTCTCGAACCCCTCAGTCACAAATCGACGCTCTCCAGCCAAAGCTTCTTCCAAGCAGAAGTTAGAGTTCTCTCGGTAACCCCTTCCCCCGCCTTGTCGATCATCTTTTGGCAGTCAACGATGTAGAAGTGATTTCCCCAAAACTCTTTGAGAGTGAGGTTGGTCCCTTCAGTCACCTGAAAACAATGCTCGAAGAGTGCTTTAGTGTGGAGCTTCTTAAAGTTATAAATAACTTGCTGGTCCATGGGCTGGAGTAACGGAGTGGTGTTGGGAGGCAGAAACTGGATCTTGATAAAGTTAAATTCTTCACGGAGGTAATCTTGTAGGCCTGGAGGATTCATGTACAAAAATCACAATATAACACAAGTTTGAGAAAATGTGTGATAACAAGCGACACGATGATGCTACTGGATCAAGTACTAAACACAGACTGATGTAATATGCACACAATCCAGGACTTCCCCTTCCCTCGCCACTCGTTATGGGAAATGTAGCTTGTTAAGGAAGTCATCCTTATACAATTTGTTTTGCTCGTTATGCGAATTACTCGTTATAAGAGCTACTGGTTAAGCCAGGTTCTACTGAATGCTTTATTAAACATGTATGATAAATATTCAAATGTTTTTTCCCGTCAATTTAATTTATATTTAGAAAATTAATAAAAAGTAGCGGTTTGGCAGTATAGTGGTTAGTACTGACCTATTAGTAAAGTGGAATATTCTAAATTTAAGTCAAGAGTCAGGAAACAGCATTAATTCTGTGTTTTATAGACAAGATTGTTGGTCTAAAATTATGTTATTGAACTGAAGAACAGTAGCAAGCTTTTTTATTGTAGATGACTGCCATGTGTCATGTTTGTCTTTATAAAGGATAAAGGCTCTTGCTGTTTCCATTCTTATCTCATCTTGAACCTTTTATACCTTGCACCGTCAAATATAAGCTTTGTGAGAGTGCCTGTTTGCATGCTTTATAGATAGGGATTACCAGGGACTTCCTTATTCCCTCTCCCATGATTCTATATGTCTTTCAATTTCCTTTTAGTCTGTAGATTATTGCTTGTTGTTGTATACTGTTTGTTAGCAGCTGAGTTGAATGTCCATGCACTTTCATTTGCTTGCTTCTGCTGAAATCTAGAGCAGCCCCTCCTTCTCCAACCTTTATTAAGATTTCAATGTTTCTTATCTTCTCCCTTCATTGACATGTTGAGTCTTTTTTTTCAAGAATTTTATTTCAGTTGTCATTTTGCTTTTTTTTGGGTTCCATTCATATTTAGTATCAAATCTCTCTGAGTATATTTGAGCACTGTGTGTGTGTGTGTACACGTGCATGTGCATGCATGCATGTGTGAGTGGGATAAAGAATTGACTTACTGCCTTCTAAAAAGCATTTTATAAAAAGTTAATAATTACAATGTACCAATCTCTCTTTTAAGAGTAGAAGAATATCAAGGAAAGATATAAAACCGAATGAAAAGTATATCAGCGAGCTTCACCATATAACAAACACAAACAAAACGGGAAAATTGCAGCTATGGAGCCTTCTTCAACACATATATAGAACAGGCAATACTACATAAATACACAATATCACATTTCTTTGTATCTCATGGCACCCAGGTCGATGTCAAGACAATGGTCTGACAAGGTACGTGGGGCCTTGATAGTAATTATCTGGGGATATGCAGAGGTTGTCACTCGAGGATAAGATGAAAATATGTAGACAGTGCAGCCCCCTAGGGTTTAGGTAAAGCTGTATTGGCAGTTAAGTTCACTGGGCGCCAGAGTTCCCAAGTTGTAAAGGGATGTTCAAGAGACTTGCGAACTATAAGAGTAGAAGAAGAAGGAAGTTGCACATCCAGCTTATTAATTCACGTTAAAATCAAGAGCTAATGTATTTTGTGTGTGTGTTTGCATGCGTGCATGTGTTGATGACAGTTTTATCACTCATGTACTGTGTTGTGTTTCCAGAGACTGCTCCATGAAATTGAGCAGATTGAAGCTTGGATGAATTTAAGAGAACCTTTGATCAAAGGGGGCAAATATGGGGACTCCATTCAAGAGGTTGAGGAGTTGATCAGGAGACATGCAGACTTTGAGAAGACTGTCGATGCCCAGGAAGATAGAGTAAACAGGCTTTGTAAAGATCAGGTGAGTGATTTCAATTGTTGAAACTGTTTTCTCTCTTTTTTTCATTTTCCTGAAAAGTATGTTCATTAAATTTTGCCAGTTAAAAATAAGACTTCCTGAATGAGAAAGGAGGGTGTTTGGGCATGGGATCAGCTCTTTTACCCTGTGTTTTTTTTTTTTTTTTTTTGCTTCAGAAACCTGTAGGGAAGAAAGCCATTCACCCACACACACAAAAAAATTGAGGAAGCAAAGATGTCCAAAAGAAACTAAAATAAATGTTGACAAGAGAGGCCAAAGGTGCTGGAGTGGATTCCATCCATGATATTGAAGGGAGGAGGTTAGGCATGGGTGTCAGCTACCCCACCCTGTACAAATATTTTTGCTGCAGAAACTTGCAGGAAAGGATGTCATTCACCAAACGCACTGAATTGGGAAATAAAGGGACTGACGAAGCATAGATATCCAAAAGAAACCCTAAAACGAACCTTAAGGAAAGAGGCCAAACATGCTGGACTGAATTCAGTCCAAGACATTGTACATGATAGAGAACAGAATGGAGGCTTAGACTTTTCAGTTGTCACATGTTTTTTCTCTTCTCGTATTGTAGACAGCCATCAGTCCATGGGAACCATGGATTTGTGTTGCTGATTTTAGGAGCAGGGTCTACTATGACTGTAGAACGCAGTCTCTGCTACAATAGTCCACATTAAGACATTGATAATCTGTAATTCTGAGGCATTTGACTTTTTGTAAATTGACAATTTGTTTTTCAGTGTCTAAGGGAATTGTTTTGCAACTGATATGTCTCAAGTTTCTATGTCTATGTTGGTATATTTCAGACACATTTGATAATGTCCTTATTGTATAGTGTTGGCCTTCCTGCAGATCTTGTCTCTATTAACAGTTCACTATACAGGAGATCCTTTAGAATGCAGCCATCCTCCATGTGAGAGTCATGTCCCAACCAATGCAGGTGTTTTTGCTTAAGTAGAAAGTTCAATGTGGCATTCCTGCTGTTTGGATTACACATTCTATGGGGACAAAGTCTCACCATGATATACCAAGAACATGTTTCATACAGAGCATTTGGAAAGTATTCAAACTTTTTACTTAAGGAGCATATGGGGTCAACTTTTCACTGCTGCAAAGGAGTGGGCTCAGGGTGTAAGCTTCATATACTTCAATTTGGGTCCTATCCGTAAGCTTTTTGTTCGACCACACTCTTTGTTCGGAGTGTGGAAAGCATTGCAGAAACCTTTTCTTTTTGTTGTTTAGTTCTACATCCAGGAAAAGATCATCTGTGATAATGCAAAAAAACTTTTCCTGTGTCACTTAACAGAGAGATGTGGTGACAGTTGTTTCTTTTGCTTCTGTCTTATTTTTATAGTGTTATAATGTTGGCATTTTTCATTTTAGGGTGCCAATTTTTCTTCACAGCATTGGCCGAGAATCCTGTGCAGCTCAGGAAGGGTAGCTTGCTTCAGCATTACAGAATCTTGGGTGGGATACCACTATCACCTGAAATCCCATCCAATGCTTCACTAATTTCTGTTATAGTAGACTCCATGTCTAGTTCGCTTATGGCGGGCAGACACTGAAGTGTATTTAAAACACCAGCACTGACATATATGCTTGTCGAATCTAGAGTAATTCTTCACCCAACATTCCAGCTGTTTTGTTTGATCCTTTGTGACCTTGCCAGTAGCTGATTTTCCTTTTACTGGTCCAGTAGCCTTTTTGATACGATTATACATACAGCTCTTGAGTTGCCATTGTTGGCCGTCATTTGTATCAGATTGATCCAGTAATAATTTGCACAGCATCGTGCAGTTTTGTGGACGGTGGTCCATTCTGATTCTGAAGCAGTTTTAAGTTTCTATCATTTTGGCAGATTTTTTAAAGCTAGTAGAGCACTTTTCTCCTCCTCTATTATAGGCAGCGCTTCTTTTTTGTGAACCTCAAACCAGTCTAATAAATGGGTTTGTTTTCTGCTCTTCTGCCAAATACAGACATTGCAGAATCGAACAGAGAGAGCATATTTAAGATGCTTTCATCTGTAGCTAGCATCTGCGTTTTGTGGACCAATCAGAGCCGTACTTAGAGTTTTTAGAAATTCTCCCACTTTCTCAGGATTTCGAGTTTGGCCCATGTCAATGTATGGCAATCCTGGCCTCTTCGATTGATGCATTCTGCTTGAAAGTATCTTTAATTTGTTGCATACCAGGGATTGATCTGTGTCACAATCTGCACTCTGATAGTTGTGGATGACCTTGACAAGGTGAAAATCACTATGTTTAGAGAGAATAAAATTGACCATCACTGATAATTAAGTAAACTGAAAGTGATGCTTGTAACTTTGCATTTTCATTGTTCAAACTTGAAGGTTGAAAAAGCTATGAAGGAGCAGAAACTTCTGGAACAGAAACAGCTAGTAGAAGATGAAGCCCGGAGAGAAAAAGATCGACTGGATGACCTACGCAGAAGGGAGCAAGAAAGGATTCTTGAGGTAACAGAATGAGTTTAGAGAGTTTTACAGTTTATGTTAAATACAGAACTAGTTCACTTTGTTAACAGAATGAATATTTAGATCTACTAATGATTGTTTGGGTGAATTGTGTCAGCCAAACAGCTAGAATTCATTCAGTTGTATTTATAACTAATGTATAGTTAATTGTTATTTATCACAATAATTTATTAATATTTATCTTCATCCTTGAAAATAATATGTAGAAACATGAATATTGTATAAGTCATAAATACAAATAAAAAAGCCACGAACATGCTAAAAATAAAAATACGATTTTTAAACAAGACACAAATAGATCATTACAGTCTGAGGAGAACGCCACTGTGAGGAGTTACCAGGGGATCTGGCTGATGCTCAACACTCAAGGCAAGACAGATGTACAATCAGATAGTTACCGGTGCCATCGGAATTGAAACTCTTCAATTGCTGCGGAAGATGACGAAGAATCACTTATGGAAGTGTCCTGAGTGCTATGATATTGATTCCTAATTCAACATTGAATATTCAACATACAAGATGGAAGCTTGAAGTCATAATGTGTTTTAACCTGCAGAAAGGCCTACTGGAGGGTAAAGTGGATGGCAAGAGGAAGACAATGGTTTAAATGGGATGATAATATCGATCATAAACTGGAATAGTAAATAGTAAATGTTAAACTGTTACACTATGTGAGAAGAGAAAGAATGTTTGAGTTCTTTTGCAGCAAAACTTCATTGTAAAGGTGGCAACTGATTTGATCTGATCTTTTTTATGCAATGATATGAACTTATCCTATTGTCTTTTATGCCTGTTTGGACATGTTTTAAATGGGGAACAAAATAAGAGTAATAAAATATTGTATTTGCAAGTGAAGTAGCTCAAAGAATCTTTTCCATGTCTTGAAATTATTGGGTATATATAAATATATATTTTAGACTGATTGACACTCGAATAATGATATCACACTGGCTACTTTATATCCCAGTGCATTTCATGTTATCTGTTGTTTAAGTAGATTGGGTTGACCAGGGAGCTCATTAGTTCAAAAAATCCATACCATGATGGGCATTCAAATAGTGAAGACCATTAGGGCCAGGAGACAAAGCAGTCATGTCACCTGTTAGACTACTTACTGCAGCTTCCTTTCAACATATAACATACTCACACACATAAAAAAAAAAATTAAAGTTATGCTAAAAGTTAACAAGTTTATTTCTTGCAATTTCAGGAACGAAGGAGAGAAGAGGAGCAGAGAAAGGCTAAAGAGGTTCTGCTGAGGAGGCAGAAAGAGGAAAATCAAGAGTATGATAGAAAGTATGCAATATTGTTTATATATTTGAATAGTTAATTTGTGACTTTGAAAACTAGCATTATTGATGCTGTTTGACCCACATATATTTGACAGAATGTTCACTTAGTACATTTTGACCACAGACAAATCACGCTGTTATCGAGTTTCTCTGATGTTATGTTTCCATCTTGTTCTTGGTTACTTTGTGCTCTATGATCTTCTCTTCTTTTGGTATATGTCTTGTGTGGTATGGCATTACCAGGCTTTCTCTCTATGTGGACAAACCATGTGATTTGCAGTCTTTTTATGTAATTTAGAATTGGTTCTGTGCAAGCCTCTTATAACCTCATTTCTGATTTGATCTCTTCTGGTCACTCCTGCAGCCCATTTCATTTCTGTGGTTACTGTCTTGTATGGTTTGTCATGAATGACCATGTCTGGCTTTGGTAGCCTAGAGGTGGAATGAATATACTTTTAATGAGATGTTTCTTTTTGCTGACTGGATTTGTCTTATGCTGTAAGATCTGTCTTTCGTCTGTAACATGATTTTTTTTCCCTTTGAAATAAACAGCTTTACATGTTTTTCCTCCCTAATATAGACTTCAGTAAGCATATCCATATACTGGGTTTTACTTGTCATTAGTTATCAAAATTTTAGTAATAAACTGTTGGCAGTTTCATCTTTGTTTAGCTGCATGTTTTAATAATTGTTCACAGATCATGCTAGTCCTGTATTTCCTGTGCTATGGTTCCTGGCTTTCCTACCATTGGGAACCACATTTGATGTTTTTCCTGCTTTGCAAACACCAGTTGTAAACTCCAGCAGAAAGTTCTGATTATTTTTCCACTTGTGGAATTTAGTCTTGTTCCATAACTTGAGTTTTGCATGCACATTCATTTAACAGATCCGGCTTATTTACATGCAGACTTTTGGTTCCTTGTTTCTCAGGCAGATGCACTTCAACTTTAAAGGAAACCTTTAATTAGTCAACTCTTTCAACATCCTTGTTAGGGAGGCAGCAAGTTTTTACTGATAAAAAGTATGCTTGTTTTTTCAAGATTAATAAAATGGTATTCATCATCATGTAGCAGGTCCTTTGCAGAACGTCGCTGTCATCACGGTCTGCCTGAAAGAAACTTGGTCTCTCGCCAGTTCTCCTGCCTCATGTACTTTCATACTCAAGGAGTCACTTATATCCTGTGCCCATCTTTGTGTTTTTCTGCCCCTGCCCCTCCTTCCTATAACGGTATTACAGAGATAAATATTATGATATTACCAAGATTAATATACTGGTATTACCAAGATAGGTATACTGGTATTACCAAAATAAATGTGCTGGTATTAGAGCCAGCGTCACCAAGATATATTTGTTGTGCTGATATTTCTAATATATGTGTTCTGGTATTACCAGTAATAATTTACTGACATTTTCAACATACCAAGATAAGCATGCTGGTATTAGGAAGATGCCAGTAAAACCAAATTATGTGTGTGAGCTAATATTGTAACCAGGATAAGTATGCTGGTATCAGCAAGATAAAAATGCAGTAAAACCAAGGCCTGTATTACTGAAATCAATGTGTGGTATTAGTATTATAAAATACAGTTAATTTTTTGTGATTGTATACAGTAATTTCACACCATCTTTGTACTGTCAATGCTAGTTGTAGAAAGTCATAGAAAAATTAAGTAAGTAGATACATTTTACCCCACCAGGACATCACACAGAGTGATAAACACCTGGTGACACAAAGTGCCACCATGTCAAAAAGGATCACCTGTGGAGAGGTCCCGGATACTGCGTTCAACCACTAGGCTATATTACCGCCCCTGACAACAGCAAGGGTGGGGTTTCCCAAAAAAAAAAATAATGGCATCCCACAAAGGGGACGATGAAAAACATGAATACAAAATTACATGTGATGAGTTGTTTAAAAAATGTGGTGGGAAAAACAAGAATTGGCAGTCACCAATAAAGAACTAAGAACAGTGGTAGGTACAGTACCGGTAAATGATTTCATAGAATATCAAAGAATTAAATTGTTGGGTCATCTGGTCAGAATGGAACCAAATAAGCCAGCAGCTAGAGAGTCTCTACATGAGAACAGCAGGCTACATCAAGTTTACAAGTCTACATCAAGTCTATATGTCAAAAATAAAGATATGGGTGCAGGGAGTAAAAGATACACTATAGAAATGCGGTTATGACATTAAACTATGCAACTATCAAAAGACAGGAAAATATCTTTAACTCTTCTCTGTGATTCTTCACGGTGCATAAGAAGAAGACATAGAATAATTTACGTACAGCCAATTCTTCAAGATCATGTTTTTTTTTTTCCATTACAACTGAAGGAATGATGAAAGGCTTCAAGGTTCAACTGTAAAGAGTCTTATTGGTCGTTCACAAAGTATCAAGATAACCTCCAGACCAGAGGGCCCCCGGTCAGACGTTCAGAGAGCAATTAGCTTCCGCAGCCGCCCAGAGCAACCTTCCCATCCGGTGGCACTACAGAAAGCAGCTAATTTTAAACAGGTAATATACAGATGTTTACATGTCGCCCATGTGTTAAAGTTTTCTTTGAGACCCTGTTTTGTTTTCACTGACCTGGGCTGCAGCACAATCAGCAATTAAATGGGTAACAAATAGGTACATGAAAATTTAATGAGAAGTAAAAGCAGCTGATGAGATATTGTCATCTACTCGTTGAGCTGTGATTGTTATAAAAATACAGGAACAGCACCACGTGTTGGGTATGCGAGAAGCATGAAAAGTGATCCTTTACAAAAAGTTGGTATCTAAACTGAGCCAGCCAAACAGAAACAGGAAGGTACTAAAATTTTGTGCAAGTTTTACTAGGTGTCTGCATAAAAAAAATCCTAATATGCACAGTCCATGGTGACAGCACTAACCAAGCCACCCTAAATCCCCAGACTCAACAACAGAAAAAAAGCAAATACAAGCAGTTGTGGACTTTTTTTTTTCAAACTAGATGTCCACATCAAAGTTTGGAGATTTTGAGCTGCTGAATTTGTAATGTTAACAGACAGGGATTATATATTGTATTTTATATATTACATAAAATGTCATGAAACATTATTTACAAATACCTAACAGAAACAATTCATGTCTGTCATGAGATAAGGAATTTCAGTATAAAACTGTTAAGATTTATTCATGGATACACTTGATGTAATAGAGTGAGAAAGGAAACATAACAGCCGGGTATACACTTGATGAAAGAAGGTGAAAAAAGAAACACAGCAGCCGGGGATACACTTGATGTAAGAGAGTGAAAAAGGAAACACAGCAGCTGGGGATACACTTGATGTAAGAGAGTGAGAAGGGAAAAACAGCAGCTGGGGATACACTTGATGTAAAAGAGTGAGAAGGGAAACACAGCAGCCAGGGATACACTTGATGTAAGAGAGTCAGAAAGGAAACACAGCAGCTGGGGATACACTTGATGTAAGAGAGTGAGAAGGGAAACACAGCAGCCAGGGATACACTTGATGTAAGAGAGTCAGAAAGAAAACACAGCAGCTGGAGATGCACTTGATGTAAGAGAGTGAGAAGGGAAACACAGCAGCCAGGGATACACTTGATGTAAGAGAGTCAGAGAGGAAACACAGCAGCTGGGGATACACTTGATGTAAGAGAGTGAGAAAGGAAACACAGCAGCTGGGGATACACTTGATGTAAGAGAGTGAGAAAGGAAATACAGCAGCTGGGGATACACTTGATGCAAGAGAGTGTGAAAGGAAACACATCAGCCAGGGATACACTTGATGTAAGAGAGTGTGAAAGGAAACACAGCAGCTGGGGATACACTTGATGTAAGAGTGAGAAGTGAAAGACAGCAGCCAGGGATACACTTGATGTAAGAGAGTCAGAAAGGAAACACAGCAGCTGGGGATACACTTGATGTAAGAGAGTGAGAAAGGAAACACAGCAGCTGGAGATACGCTTGATGTAAGAGAGTGAGAAAGGAAACACAGCAGCTGGGGATACACTTGATGTAAGAGAGTGAGAAAGGAAATACAGCAGCTGGGGATACACTTGATGCAAGAGAGTGTGAAAGGAAACACATCAGCCAGGGATACACTTGATGTAAGAGAGTGTGAAAGGAAACACAGCAGCTGGGGATACACTTGATGTAAGAGTGAGAAGTGAAAGACAGCAGCCAGGGATACACTTGATGTAATAGAGTGAGAAAGAAAACATAACAGCCGGGTATACACTTGATGAAAGAAGGTGAAAAAAGAAACACAGCAGCCGGGGATACACTTGATGTAAGAGAGTGAAAAAGGAAACACAGCAGCTGGGGATACACTTGATGTAAGAGAGTGAGAAGGGAAAAACAGCAGCTGGGGATACACTTGATGTAAAAGAGTGAGAAGGGAAACACAGCAGCCAGGGATACACTTGATGTAAGAGAGTCAGAAAGGAAACACAGCAGCTGGGGATACACTTGATGTAAGAGAGTGAGAAAGGAAACCCAGCAGCTGGGGATACGCTTGATGTAAGAGAGTGAGAAAGGAAACACAGCAGCTGAGGATACACTTGATGTAAGAGAGTCAGAAAAGAAACACAGCAGCTAGGGAATACACTTGATGTAAGAGTGTGAAAGGAAACACAGCAGCTGGGGATACACTTGATGTAAGAGAGTCGGAAAGGAAATACAGCAGCTGGGGATACACTTGATGTAAGCGAGTGAGAAAGGAAACACAGCAGCTGGGGATACACTTGATGTAAGAGAGTGAGAAAGGAAACACAGCAGCTGGGGATACACTTGATGTAAGAGAGTGAGAAAGGAAACACAGCAGCCAGGGATACACTTGATGTAAGAGAGTGTGAAAGGAAACACAGCAGCTGGGGATACACTTGATGTAAGAGAGTGTGAAAGGAAACACAGCAGCTGGGGATACACTTGATGTAAGAGAGTGAGAAAGGAAACACAGCAGCTGGGGATACACTTGATGTAAGAGAGTGAGAAAGGAAACACAGCAGCCAGGGATACACTTGATGTAAGAGAGTGAGAAAGGAAACACAGCAGCCTGGGATACACTTGATGTAAGAGAGTGAGAAAGGAAACACAGCAGCTGGGGATACACTTGATGTAAGAGAGTCAGAAAGGAAACACAGCAGCCTGGGATACACTTGATGTAAGAGAGTGAGAAAGGAAACACAGCAGATGGTCTACTATTATTAGACAGAAGAATAACACTAGTGAGCAAATTAAATTATCTGTGCAATCTTGCAAAGCATTCAGAATGTTGTGAGGAATGTGTGTATGTATGTATGTAAGTTTTACCCCATCAGGACATCACACCCGGTGACACAAAGTGCCACCATGCGTATAAGGATCACCCATGGAGATGTCCCAGAAACCCCGTTCAGCCGTTAGGCCATATTTAAGACCCGGCTATATTTAGGGCCCCCTGCAGTTTGAAACTGATGATGAACTGCAGATAGGCAGGCGTTAATGAATGGATCAAGACACTCGCAGCACTTCTATGACTTTGGAATTAAGAACCTGGTGCCACGATACCAAAAAATGTGTTGAAGTCAATGGTGACTATGTTGAGAAATAATGTAAATGTGTGGTTCATGCTGCAGTAAATCATTTTTATTTATGATGTGTTTTTTTTTAATACAGGGAATTACTTAAAAAATGTGCCTCGTATTTTAACATTTCCTTTACATACCACTCAGGACAATATAAAATGATCCTGGATAAATATTGTGTCTTCTCTATACAGGACAGTGCAGAGAGACCTGAATCACCAGAAGTTGAATTAGAACAGCCTAGTTCACCGCCACCATCTCCAACTGAAGAAGTTACAAAACCTGAAGACCTGACATTGCCATCTCCAGCAGATAATATATCTTTTGCTGAGGATGAAGATGTTGCAGCTCCAGAACTGCCGAATGCACCACCCCCTGTGTCTGCACCGCAACTACCCCCACTGGTTCCAAGCCCAGCCTCACCATCATACCAGAAGAAGGAGGTCCTGTCTCCACCACTAAGTCCTACAGGTGTCACACAGAAAAAATTGGATGCTGTAAGTATTCATTTACCCTCTGTATTGTTATTAGTTTCTTAGACTGAATAAAGTCATTAGAAAGTGGCTATATTGTTTGGTTATCAACAATTTTTCCTAGGGGCTGCATGGTTTTGAGGTGTGGTGTCCTCCTCGAGTGCTAGAGGTTCCGGGTGCAATCTCCGGTAAGGGCTGGAATTTTTTCATGTGGACTTGGACTTCTAGTAATTTCTCTTGGTCTCTGTGTGGTGAAATCCCTTGGCAGTTGGAAATCAAAAAGAGTAGCCTAACGATGCTGCCCGGGCAAAATTTGGAGTAAAAAATCTACCAAAAATATTTCAGGATCCTTGCCCATGCTACACAGCCTGTGCATTCATGCTGAGACTCTTCGGCTCAGACTTGAGCTAGAAGAAGAAAGGAGCACTTATGGGTTACACCTGTGTGCCATGATGTTGATCCGTTGTTTAAAACCTCAAAAACTCAGGTTTTCCTGTGTAGGTTCCAGGGTTCTATTTATGCCTGTTGTATAAACGTTGTCTTTGCTTCACCCTGTCCTTTTTTGTTTTTCTTTCAGATTGTTGCCCTCTGGTAATTTATTTAGCATTTCTTCATGTTTTTTGTGACTTTACAGTAGTTTTAAAACACAATCACCACTTGTATCAACTAAGTAAGTGACACATTTCTGATTTACATGTAGATACATTCGAGATTCTCTTACTGATACTGGTACGGCAAGAGAAATATTTTTCTCTGACTTCATTTGACAAGGAATAAGTGTGTGTGGTGTTCTTAATTTAAAAATGATTCATATTTTTAAAAAGTGTTTGACGTGTATGCAGACTGTTATGTTGATTTTATTATTTTTGTCCGATTTTGTTTGTTTATTTTTTTTTTTTTTCAACAAAACGTATGATTAGTAAAATGCAAAGCATAGGTGGTAATACATAGGTAAAATAGCTGGTTCACTGAAGTGCTGTATTGAAACCTTTTGTAGCATTGCAGGCTAGAAGAACAGATATTCTGAGATCATGCGAAGGGAGAACAAGCACAAACACATGTACATATCTTCAAGAAGCTTGTGCCAAATGAACATAAAATCTATATTCACCTGACCCTAGATCCTTAAAGTATGTGCATATGTTCATGCTAGTTTGTCTTTGATGATTTCAACATACCTGTCATTTTATTTAATCAAGTCATTTCTTGCTGTAGACAAAATAAAACTGCCCCATCAGTGCAGCACTTCACATGCAACACAGCAGTAAGTTATTATCAATGCAATAAACATGGCTTGCTTTTCAGTTTTGTAAACATGTTCGATTTCAGATCAAAGAAGAAAGCAAGAAGAATAAAAGGACTCCCAGTTTCAACATCCGCAGACGAACACGCAGTTTTAAGGACAAATACAAGCTCCCTGAAAATTTGCCACCAGCAGAGCTTGAGGAAATGGTTGAGCGTAAACAAGAACTGCAGTCTGGTGGGAAGAAAGCC